AATGCCTCTCGGTCCCCCGTATGCCCCAATTGACGGGAGGAGAAGCATGCTAGTAGGCATGACAATGTATGACCATGAGAGATAGGGATTTTATTTAAGGCCCCCTCTGGTTTGTGAAGGAAAAAAAAAAAAAAAAAAAAAAAAAACAAGAAACAAAAGGGTGGGGGCGAAAAGGAGAGTACGCACGTTCCTCACTCAAACCGCCACCATGCATGGCAAGGATGGGCAGCTCTGGTTCAACCTTTGGAAAACCAAAAAGGGCGAGAGAGAGGGAGAGAGAGAGAGAGAGAGAGAGAGAGAGAGAGAGAGAGAGAGAGAGAGAGAGAGAGAGAGAGAGAGAGAGAGAGAGGGAGAGAGAGAGAGAGAGAGAGAGAGAGAGAGAGAGAGAGAGAGATCAAGAGGGGAGCATGATCATGGTCCCAAGCATCAATCCTACAGCAAGGTAAAAAAGAAAAGAAAAAAAAAAAGAAAAAAGAAAAAAAAAAAAAAACAAAAAACAAAAACAAAAACGAAGAGGGGAGGGAACGGGAGAGAGTATGGGAAAGAGTTTGCAAAGGTGCGATCGGACGCCCTATATGGAATGAGGACAAACCGTCCGTATGGTTCTCACTGTTGACGGTTCATCTTTTGCGCATGCATGTATATGTCACACGCATTCACTAATTAAGGCGTGTAACTTGATTGGTCCCGTTCATTTCCTTGTCGTACATACAGGAGCACAACAATACGAGGTGCCTCGCGACGATGGCCCATACGAATTCGCCGTCAAGGACAAAACCGTCACACGGATGTGTGGTCGGCTTCGCTCGACCTTTGCGTGGTGGAGCTCATGGTGCCCTTGCAACCTCATCCTATCCATAATCGCCAACGGTTACTGGCTCCCATGGAGCCACGGTCCACCACAGGCCTTCCGGGAGCGTAACCACGCTGGTGCATACGCGCATGCTACGTTCACATGTACTGCCATCCAAGAACTCACAGAGACTGGAGCAGCAGTCGAGACAACCGCAAGCGAGCTTACGTGCATAAGCCCACTTAACGTGGTCGAGCAAAGAGAAAAATGCAGGCTCATCCTCGACCTGAGAAAAGTCAACGCAAACCTCATAGTTCCAAAATTCAAGTACGAAGGACTCAGCCGCGTGGCAGACGTGGCACGCGCTGGGGATTGGATGTTTTCCATTGATCTCAAATCCGGGTACCATCACATCGACATCCATCCCTCATGCTGGAAGTTTCTCGGTTTTGGATTCGATGGGCGCACTTACTCCTTTCGTTCATTGCCGTTCGGTCTTGCGACAGCCCCATTCGTCTTCACGCAACTCATCAAGCAGCTAGCCCGTCGCTGGCGGGAGCAAGGCATTCGAGTAGTACCATACGTGGACGACATCTTATTCCTCTGCCAGTCAAAAGCCCACGCGCAGGCCACTTGCCACCGTGTAATACTGGACCTTAAAGCAGCGGGTTTGGTGATAAATGCGAAGAAATCACAGCTGTCACCATCGCAACACCTTCGATTCTTGGGTGTGGAGCTGGACACGGCCACCGGTCAATTTACCATCGGTCCCGAACGACGAGCCTCACTACATGCAACCATTCGGAACCTGTTGAGTGCAAGCAAGGCATGTCGACCCGTCCCAGTCCGCCAAGTGGCCAGAATCACAGGCATGCTCGCGTCAATGGGCGTCGCGCTGGGCGCAACAGCTCGTGCTTTCAGCCACGCCATGCTACAAGTGATCAATGACGCACCTTCATGGAAAAGCAGCGTGATCATCCCCCCACCCGCGGCCGAGGAGCTAAACTTCTGGCTCGAGGAGTTTGATAGGTTCAACGGTGCACCGTTTCACGTTCGAAACAGCTACGATGCTGTGATCCATGTGGATGCTAGCGCTCACAGTTGGGGCGCCACTTTGACCACATTCCCTGGCGGCCTCGAAGAAGCTAGCGCAACAATGCCAGAGCCGCTGCGAGCGACGTCCAGCACACGGAGGGAGATCGAAGGAGTGCTTTGGGCACTCCAAACATACTCCAGCAAGATCACGCACAAACATGTTCTTGTGCGGGTGGACAATCAGGGCGTCTTCTTCATCCTTCGCAAAGGTGGCTCGCGTAGCCCCGACCTTACCACGGCCTGCCAAGGCATCATTCGGACATGCATGGAGCACGGCACGCGTCTAATCATCGAATGGATCCCACGCGAGCTAAACTCACACGCCGATGAGCTCTCAAAAGCAGTCGATCATGACGACTACTCGTTGAAGACGCCGTGGTTCCGCATCTTAGAACGACGTTGGGGTCCCCATTCCATCGACCTCTTTGCAAACTCCCGCAACTCTCAGCTGCCACGCTTCTGCACGAAAATTCCTCATCCACAAGCCACCGCAGTAGATGCATTCTCGCTCGCATGGACATCAGAAAATAGCTTTGCTTTCCCCCCGCCCCATTTAGTACCGGCCGTCCTCCATCACGCACAGCACACCCATGCGTCGCTCACACTGATCATCCCACATTGGCCGGGTGCAAACTGGTGGCCACTCCTACAACCTTCCCCACGCAACTGGGCACCGTACATCCACGTGCACATTCCTTTGACACACGGCAGCCAATGTCTGGCAGTTGGAACACATTCCGCTGCTTTTTTCAGGCACTGGATTACCACATAGCCCAATAATTGCACTTCGGGTGGTTTTTGACTAATTGAGAGTGTACGCGCCTTGTGTCCAGATCTGCTCCCAAAGCTACACAACCAACTCATCAACATGCTCACACAATCGCGAGCTAATTCAACGATCCGTACATACGAACCGTACTGGGCCAAGTTTCGGGCTTTCTGCACAAAGGTGGATTTCCCATTTCTTCCCGCATCCGACATGGCCCTCGCGCTATACTTGGTACATGCAATCCAACGAAGAGCAACCTTGTCTGTAGTGCAGCTCACGTGCTCGGCAGTCAGCTTCGCCCATTGCATGACTGGAAGCAAATGCCCGACTGTCGGACCGTTTACCACTCAAGTGCGGGACTACGCGAAACGACACTGCCCTCGCCCTAGTCGAATGAAGGAGCCCGTATCAATCCAACAAGTTCGGGACATGTCCGCGAACTACTTGCAGTCGGACAATCCTGCTGAATTTCAGAAGGGGTTGATCCCTATCCTCATGTACTCCGGATTTTTGCGATACTCCGACCTGGTGGCCATCCAGTGGCAAGACATCCAATTCGACGACGAAGTCATGTGGATCCTCATCCCACACTCAAAAACGGACCAGGCCGGTCGTGGAACTTGGATTACCATCGCAGCAACGACGGACCCCTGTTGCCCCGTGCGCTGCACCCAACGCTTCCTTCAACTCGCTGGCTATGGCCCGCATTCAGAGGGGTCGCTGATTCGCGTTTTTGGTCACGCTTCAGCCAACAAGGGTCAGGCCAAGCCACCCTCGTACACAACGATCCGGAACTGGTGTAAAGAAGCATTCGCAAAGGTTGGACTTGGGGAGCAGCAGCTCGGCACGCACTCCTTCCGAAAGGGCGCGGCAACCGTAGCAGCCAACATCGGCGTGCCGGACAGGATCTTCAAAAGGATGGGCAGGTGGCGAAGTGACACAGCCAAAGAGATGTACGTCACACCACACGTCGGACATCTTATCAAGGCATCCCGCGACCTACAGGACCCGACACACGCACTGCCCCCAGAACAGCACGCAGAGGCACTCTTACGCAACCGGAAGCCACCGCTGCCCATGTCTCAGAGGCCCCAGTTGCAATGAGAACGATGCCAAATTATAAGGACAATAAAGCAAGCTTTCTCAATATTATAATTTTTAAACACATTGATGTTTTTCAAAATTGTGTATTGTGAAAGCGAAGCTGCCTGTACCGAATATTTGGCAGCATCGAAGCGCGCTAAACGCCCTTCTCCAGCTACAAAAACCGTGGGTTGGAGTTCATTCCCTCCACCCACGTTTCTCGTTTTCCAACGGCTCAATCAACATCCCCACCACCCACCCCGGACCAACTACAAGACCACAGCTGCTTGGACGGACGACTCCATAGCTAGTAATATTTGCATGTACTAGCATGTGTTTAAGAACGATGCATATGTTGTAATAAGCCAGTTGCAATGAGAACGATGCCAATGAGAACGATGCCAAATTATAAGGACAAGAAAGCAAGCTTTCTCAATTAGGATGATGTAGTAGCGAAAGCGTTTAATAAAGGATTGTGAACCACCTTGCGCTTGTATGTGAGGGCAAGGTAAGTTGATAATAACAAAAACATACAAGCTTTTTATATGATTACAAGGAATATGAAAAGGTTATATTTTAACTGTTTTTTGCTGTTGCGGTTCGATACAGTGCCGACTCGGGTAACTGTTCTGTAACGAATCAGTTATATGTCCTTGCTGTCGCACTGTACGTTTCGTCAGGTCAAAGGTCGGGGACCGTTGACCTTCGCGTAACCTCCGACAGTTGACTCGCGTGATACTTCGCTGTAGTTAGTTCCGTTTGTGTCTTTATCTTCGATGCGACAGAGGCGCTATAAATCACTTGTTTCCAACACATGTAACACTGTAAAGAATTATCGTCTTTAATATTCCCAAAAGCTCTCGAAAATCTCCTAAAAGGCGGGAAACCGGACTGTCCAATCCCGACGCCAATGGGGGCAGCAGACAAAGCGGGAGCAATTGATTCGACAAGATCGATGCCTGGCAAGCACGCGCGCAAGTACACAACCCCTGAATTCCTGAATGCCTGCTGGCAGCCCACCATCAGGCTCCAAGAGGAATTGGGAATCAGGAACAGGATGGAGTGCTGTATGTTCATGTCACTTCACTGATGTGCTCAAAATCACATGTGCTCTTAGTGGTATACATGTGTGGCTGTCGTTGATCATCCAGATTCTATTCCCCTCAGTAGTCGTTCAGGACACGTGTTGACCTTTACGTCGTCATAGCCGAAGGTGCTCGTACTCGAATCAACGTACGCGCTTTGATATCCTCGTTGCTGATGGAATTCCTGAAATCGCCGAGTCACGTCACCAGAGCAGCCGGCCTGAGTCAGTCACTGGTTCTCCCTAAAATTTATCCTCATAGAGCAGCGCGATCCCGTCCAGAACCCGGCGCGCACATCAAGGGAGCTGCTTGCGGTCCAGGAGGCCCGCTTCCGACCGCCACCTTCAGCCCAAGCAATGCGCGCACACCTTCTGTAGGACCGAGCACGTCGAGCCACGCAAGCTCTCGAACGGGCTTCGCAGCGACCCCGCGCGCTCTTCCCGTCGGCGTCAGCGGCAGGAGCCTTGGAGGCGTGGCGCGGAACGGAAGCTGCGGAGGAAAGGATCGTCGCAGTCGGAGTGAAATCGTTCGTGCAGCTGCGCAAGGCTCGGCGGTGGAGCAGCAGCAGGTTGACGGGGTGGTGCAGGACGGAGCGTCGCGCACGAGCAGCAACGGCACAGCAGGAGCTACAGATGAACAGATTCTGGTAACTAGCACTACTAGACGCTACGGTACTCAAGACTCTCCGAGTTTCCCTAGCGTCGTGCCTCTAGGCCCTCATCCTAACGAATCCCGTTTCCTCCCTGCGTGCCGCACATCACTCGCCGTGATCCTCTCATTCGCACAGTTCCCTCGTGAAGGAAAAACCCGCTGTGCACCTGCGCTATCGCAGTGCATGCAGGCAATGCCCCTGCTACCAGAGCAACGCTAGATGTTCACGCGTACAGTACAAGTAGCTTCATATTCGATCCTTCCCGATCTGCAGGCGTCGATTCCCGCGCTCGGCGCGACGCTGGACGACCACGGGGGCTGCGTGTTCCGCGTGTGGGCTCCGCACCCTCAGCGCGCCACCTTAGTCGTCAAGCGCGTCTCGCCTGCCCGCGCTGGCGCTGGTGGCAGTGACGCGGAAGGCGCGGCAGCAGAAGGCGAGAGGGTGGAGATGGGACGCGACGGCAACGTGTGGTTCGCGCGTGTTTTGAACGTTGTTGCCGTGAGTGCGCCATGCTGCATGACGTGGACATGATGGTCATAATAGTGGCGGTAAGGACGCGGCAAACGTTCCCTTTTGACTGTGAAGGTCTGCAATCTCAGCACCCGCACGGGATTAAGTTCCTTCCTCGTCAGCTACCGCGCTACTGCCTTTCTTCCGGTCCGGCACTTTCCGTGCGCCTTGCCAGTGCCGTTATTCCACCCCTCGTGCTCCAGGGTGACAAGTACCACTTCGTGTTCGAGTGGGAGGGCAAGACGCTGGAGAGGCGGGACGCGAGGGCGCGCGCGACGGACTACGAGAGCAACGACTGCATCGTCGTGGATCCGCGCTTCTCCTGGACTCCCTTTGAGCCACCCCCGTTCGAGGCTCTCAATATTTATCAGCTGCATGTCGGCGCTTTCACAGGGTGAGGCATGAGTGGAAGGGTAGATGATGGATGTCTGTATGGGCGTATGGTGGATGGATGAATCATGGATGTACGTATGGATGTCTTGATGGTTGTTGTGATGTTATGAGATAGACGCCTGTATGTGGCCGAGCAATGGCGATTCTGTTCGTCCACTGAACCTGCGCGCGCACATTGAATCAGCCATGGCACCGTGAGTGTGTAACACTATGTGCCCCACGCCCTGTGCTCCGTGCCTGACACGTGCAGGCGTCTGCCGGGTGGCGGCACGTTCGCTGCGCTCAAGGAGAAGCTGCCGTACATCAAGAGCCTTGGGTTCAATGCCGTTCAGGTCAGCTGCTGTTCAGGGCATGCGAGGCAAGGGGTGGTGGGCAGAAGGGGATGATAGGAGGTGCGGAGCCTGACTGGATGCTGATAAAAGTCGAGCAGAGGTTGTATATTGAAGGACAATACTTGTACCCGCTGTGCGTGTGTGGTGCGTGCAGATGCTGCCAGTGCACGAGTACTGCGGGCAGTGGGGCTACAACCTCCGCCTGCTCTTCGCCCCCCACCCCTTCTACGGCTCCCCCCTGGAGCTCCGAGAGCTGGTCGACGCCGCCCATTCCCAAGGTGAGGCTCGCTGGTGCATGGTGCATGCTGGCAGTCATGGTGCGGACTGCCATGGTGCATGGTGACCTCCCTGGTGCATGGTGACCTCCCTGGTGCATGGTGACTGGCATTGTGGATGGTGCATGGTGAATGGCATGGGGAGATAGAGAGGCTGCAGCTGGGTAGCAAGATCACCATGCCTCAGCCACCACATGCCACATGCTGTGCCACTCCTTTACCTCCTCGCACCATGCCATGCCAACCATACGATCATCCCATGGCGCCTCATCCCATGTGCCATGTGCCATGTGCCATGTGCTATGCGGCATGTGCAGGCATGGCGGTCATCTTTGACGTGGTGCTGCACCATCTGGCGCCCAACCTCAACAGGTGGGCATGGGCCGCATGCCTACCCTGGATGGGGTGTTTTGGATGGTGGATGCTGGAAGCTGGATGGTGGATGGGGGAGGCTGGATGGTGGATGGGGGAGGCTGGATGGTGGATGGGGGAGGCTGGATTGTGGCTGGTGGACTGTGGGCGAATACGTTTTCCACGTTTGTCATTTTTCTCAATTTCTCAAGGGACGAGGGTTCACGTTTCCCACTGCTGACAGCCCTTGCTGGAACATTCTCCGGTTTAGGTTCTGTGGTTTAGGTTTTACTAGAAGGTTTTACTAGAAGTACGAAGCCATGTGAATCTCCTGTTCCCTTAGTTGCTCTCTCTTAACTCGCCTTTGTGTGTGCGTGTGTGCCTGTCCTCGTCCCTTCTCCTTCCTTCGCAGTCTCTGGGAGTATGATGGACCGACCAAGAAGGGAGGTCAGCCCCACTCAATGTCACGATCCGCCACTAGGATTGCTTCCCGCTTTCCACACCACCGCCCCCTGCTTCTCCCTTGCTCACCCATGCTTCCAGTATCCGCCCACATCAACTTGCTCCCATGTCCCCTTCATCTCTTCGCATCTACCCACCCCATGTCCTTCCCCCATCTCCGTGCGCCCACGTCCATCAGGGCTGTACTTTGACGGGGGGGGCGACTCATCATGGGGCAAGACCTTTGCGTGGTGGCAGCAGGAGGTGAAGGAGATGGTGCTCGATGCTGCTCGCCTCTTCCTCAACGAGTACAATGGTGCGCTCCTGCTTCCCCACCAACCCAGGCAATGCTATGCCTTGCCTTGGCATGCAATGCCCGCACTCTGATAATTATAACAGCTACTAGGTATTAGGTTTGCGAGGAAGTGCTGCAGACCCCCTGCGCTCTAGCAGTCCTCTCCTCATGAGTGTGCCGTGTCACGCCTCTGCACGCCTCTCCTCCTTCATGAGCGTGCCAAGATCCAGATACCCCTCTCCGCCCCGTTGTCCCCTCCTCCCGTCCCTCGCTGCCACCACCCTCCTTGCCCCCACCCTCCCCCGCCCATCCCCATGGGAGCGCAGGGGACGGGCTGCGGTTTGACTGTGTGCACGCCATGCCATGGAAGGTGTCGCAGAGCCTCACGTAGCACCTGCACCGCGAGTTCCCCCACCGCATCCTCATCTCTGGTCAGACCCGCTGCTGCCGCACACACTCCTCACCTGCACTCCTCACCTGCACTCTCCACCTCTCAGCACTCGCACCTGATCCCCCCAGTGCGCTGCAGCATGCTCCCGTGTTCCCCATTCCCAGTGCATACCCACTCAACTCTCTCCAACCCTGCTCTCCCTACCAATGCATGCACATGCGTGTGCGGGCAGAGATCACGCCCGAGGTACCGGATGTGCTATCAGAGGCGGGGTACGACGCCACGTGGATGCACACGTCCTTCTACAAGATGCGCTCCTTCATGCTCGCTGACTCCCCCCGCCCCCTGGGCCGCCTGCAGGCGCTGCTCACCCTGCTGCCCGGCTACTCCAAGTCAACGCAGGTCAACGCCCCTCCTGCCCTCACTGCCTGTCGTGTGCCACACTTTCCTTCTCTCCTTGCTGGGCGAGTTGGAGACTGCGCCGGCTGGGGGGCGCGCACACAGACGCATGCACACACAGCTGTGGTCGCCGTTGCCTGTCCGAGCTCTACCTTCATTCCAGTTCCACCCTGTCATGCATTATGCCCGCGAATCCATCTTATCCATGCCATGCCATCCACTGCTCGTGTCAGCACTCCGGCTTCATGCTGTTGGTTCACGTCAGAATTATGAGAATAATATCGTACTCCAAATCTAAACTCCGACATGACAACCCCCAAAATGGGCTGTGAATGATGGCAGTGTGTGAAGTACTTCCTGGGGTCGCACGACCAGGTTGGGTGCCGCAGAGACGGAAGATATGACGATGACATACAGGGTTACCACAGGTAGGGAGAGACACAGGTATGGTGAGACACAGGTATGGTGAGACACAGGTATGGTGAGACACAGGTATGGTGAGACACAAGGTTACCAAGTGTGTGGAAACTCTGCACAGGCATGAGGCATGTGCATGGCTGGTGTGACATGGCATGGCCGCAACTCCTGAATCACAAGTTTCTCATACCCCTATGAGCTTTGCTGCTCTCCTACTATCACCAGTCTCTCTTTACTCTCCCCTCATGCCCTCTCGCCTCACCCCCTAATGCCACCTTTTGCCGCTCCACCACCATCCTCCTTCCCACCTCCCCTTCTGCCATCAGGTACGCAGTGGACCTATTTGGAGGCCGTGAGGATTGGACTGCTCGCGCCAAAGTGCGCATGTGGTTCGCCTGCCAGGTGCCACTTCATCCCCTGCCTTGCATCCCATCCCCTGAACCTTGCATCCCAGTCAAGTGCACTCTGGACTTGAGGGTCGTCAATTGCGGTGCATAGATAATGCAGGGGATAGATAGTGCAGGGGATAGATAGTGCAGGGGATAGATAGTGCAGGGGATAGATAGTGCAGGGGATGCAGCCGCTTCTGCCAGGATTGCAGGAAAGTTCGTGAAGGCGAATATCGTCATGCATCTCACCTCCACCTCCTCTGCCTGATGCATGCACGTGCTATGCCATGCTGTGCGTTTGCTGCGCCAGGTGTGCGCACAGGGCATACCAATGACATTCATGGGTTCGGAGACCATGCATCCCAGGTGGTGGGGGGTCACCCCTAGGGACATGCTCGACTGGCAGTACACTGGTGAGTCCACCTCACCTCCCCTTGCATGCACTCCTTGCACGCACCCCTTGCATGCACCCCTTGCACGCACCCCTTGCATGCACCCCTTGCACGCACCCCTTGCGTGCATCCATTGGATGCACCCCTTGTGTGTAATGCACCCCTCACATGCAACGCACCCCTCACATGCAACGCACCCCTCACATGCAACGCACCCCTCACATGCAACGCACCCCTCACATGCAACGCACCCCTCACATGCAACGCACCCCTCACATGCAACGCACCCCTTGAATGCACTCCTGACCTACAAACAAGCGCTGCCCCTCACCAGGTCACACCCATGTTTGACCGCCCACTCCTCCCACCACCCCGCGCCACTCACACCCCCCTCTCCCCGTCTGCCTCCGTGCGGCACATCCCAGAGGATGCGGTGGGGCAGCAGATGCAGGCGCTGGTGCGGGCGGCCAACGGGTTGCGGGCAGCGAGTGCAGCGCTTCAGCGGGGGGCGTTTGAGACGGTGCACTACGACGAGGTCAACTGTGTCATCGCCTTTTGGCGCCAGGTGGGTGGGCTCGCCCCTGCTCTCTCATTAGGCACTGCTCTCTCAGTAGGCACTGCTCTCTCAGTAGGCACTGCTCTCTCAGTAGGCACTGCTCTCTCAGTAGGCACTGCTCTCTCAGTAGGCACTGCTCTCTCAGTAGGCACCAGGCACTGCTGAAGGTACTGTTGGGCCTAATTGTGGCTCGAAATGAACATAAAATCTGTGATTCCCCCTCACCCACCTCCCCACCTTTCGGAACAGACTGAGAGCGAGACACTCCTGGTGGTGGTGAATGCGGGCGAAGCTCAGTGGGAGAAGGCCGACTATGGCGTTCGGGTGGGCGGCGGTGATCGGCCGTATGTAGAGGTGTTTAACTCGCAAGATGCCGAGTACGGGGGGTGGGCCACGTCTGGCAATGCTGGCAAGCAGCTGACCCCGAACCATGGCAAGCTCTTCGTCAACCTGCCCAAGTGGGGCGTGCTGGTCTTTAGACGAGCTGAATAGCAACTGGTATTGTGGTACAGTATTGACTATAGGCGAAATGAAACTTCTCACTCGAAAAAGCAACTTCTTTAATGTAAAAAATGCATGGGAGTGTCAAAATGTACGTGCAAAGATTATGGAGAGAGTCATGATGTAATACCACCATTTATAAATATGGACACATGTGATCAAAGGATTGTTGAATTGCTGTGAACTATAAACCTCTGTAGCCGCGTGTACATCGTATGGCCACTTGAGAATCATTAGTTTCTCGAGGTGCCTGTAACGGGTGGCCGCGGAACATTCGAGGCGACCTGGAAACTAGCTAGCCATCCACCACACGCGCGCGCATCATGCTCCGCCCGCAACGGCGGCAACCTCACCTGCACCCCACGAAGGAGAGGCGGGCGGGCGGGCAGGTGGAAGAGAGAAGAAATCACCGTTCCCCACCCCACCTCACCTCAACCCTCGCCACCCCTTCCACGCTGCAGCACCAGCGCCAACCTGTGCGCTGCTGCCCCCCCTTCCCCTCCTAGCTTCCGCCCTCACCCGTCATTATGACCATGACCACGACATGCTCACCTCCTTATGCTGCTCCCACTTTTCTGCCCTAACCCAGATGTTATCAATCACAGGGAGCCATTGCCGAGTGTGAACAGAGGAATCTTACTTCCTGCTCGTCCTAACAACCGATTAGGCCACGATAACCCTTGATTGCCTGTGCAACAATAATTCGCCCGAAAGGTTTCATCTTGCTTGCACCAGAAGTCGTGCAGCGTGGGGAGCGAGAGGACCGTGCGAGCGGCTGAGGAGATGCGCGCGCCGTTCTAGAGAATGCCGTCGCCCGGCGAGCCGCTAGAGCTGCCTGACCCTGCCTGCCTGAGGCGCTCGAAACGCGCACCCAGAGCTGCGTGACGCTCGTGGCCCTCGAACCTAGGACGTCGCTTAACCGAGTTTGCGGAATTGGCGGGCCGCTTTGCGAGCTCGTCGAGCGACCTGGTGGTGCCTCGCAGCAGCAAATCGCTCGTATCTGCGCGTCCCTTGTCGTGGGTATCTAGGCTTGTGCTGGACGCACATAATCGCATTGCGAAAGGCTAGGAGCGATCGTACGACGTGTTAGAAAACCGTTTGTTTTCTTAGACAGCTAAGCTTCGTATCGCGGTGCGCGAGTGAGACGGCGCGATGGCGGGGCTGGCGAAGATGAAGAAGAAGCTGCTGCCGCTGCAGACGGGCGGCGGCGTGCGCGCGCCTGACTCGGGCGGTGTGGGGGAAATGCCTGCCATGGCCAACGACCCGTACGCGTCGTATAAGGTGAACTCGATACCCGTTACAAGTGAAGCGTGGCCGCGAATGCCGGAAGCCGTGTCGCACAATTTGCTTCTTGTCATTTCGTTTTTCTTCCACAATCAATTCCTGGTTGCCACGGTGCCATTCTGCGTCGCGGGTGCGACTATCGCTCGTTGACATTTCCCTCCCCCTCTATATGCTTCTGTGTTATGCATTCCGCAGCACGCGTAGATCGAGCTTTGAGACGTCACTTCTCTAGTACTCGAGGCGTCACCTGTCGAGCAATCAAGGCTTCGCTTATCCAGTACTCACTACCCAAATCCCGATTCCATTTCCATCCGTGCGTCCCCGTGGCAGGTCAGCGAGGAAGGACACATCAACCTAATGAGTCAGTCTTTTAATGAGTACGCGATCAGCGAGCAGGGGTTGCAGGTGAACAAGGAGGGGCAGCATTCAGAGGACAGCAGCGCGGGCGGCGAGAAGACGTACCGCTGTGCTTCTAACGAAATGCTCGTGTTCGGCGCCATCGGTTCGGGGGCGAGCAGCGTTGTGTGTAAAGCCATACACATACCCACGCACCGCCTGCTCGCCCTAAAAAAAGTCAACGTCTTTGAAAAGGTCAGCTCTCCTGTGCACGCGCGCCCTCCTCGTCGCCCCTCCCGCTCCCCTCTTCCCCCTTCTCAATTCCTCTTCGCATCCTTGAACCAACCATCGCCATCACCACAACCATCGCCATCACCACAACCATCCGCCAACCCCGTCACTTCCCCCATTCCGTCCTTCATCTCCCCCTTCCCCCCTTACCCACACACCCCCTCCTCCCATTCCCCTCCCCCCTCCCCCCCGCCCCCTCCGCGAGCAGGACAAGCGGCACCAGCTGCTGAACGAGATCCGCACGCTGTGCGAGGCGCCGGCAGCGCCGGGGCTGGTGGAGTTCTACGGCGCGTTCTACCAGCCGGACAGCGGGCAGATCAACATCGCCCTCGAATACATGGACGGCGGCTCCCTCGCTGACGTGGTGCAGGTCACCAAGACCATCCCCGAGGATGTGCTGTCCGCCATCACGCGGCGCGTGCTGCAGGGCATGCAGTTCCTGCACACGGACCGGCGCATGGTGCATCGGGATATCAAGCCGGCGAATCTGCTGCTGAACCTGAACGGCGTGCCCAAGATCACCGACTTTGGTATCAGCACCGGCCTCGACCACTCCCTCGCCATGGTGCGCACACGCTCTCCTGCCAACCTGCCCTGTGCTGTTCTTGGCTGCTCTCTGCTGCTGAATGCTGTTGTGTGCCGCTCTGTGCTTCTGTGTGGTGCTGTTCTGTGTGTTCCACACGTGACCCCATCGTGCTCCCATCGCCCCTTCCTCCATGGCCCTTCCCTCCCACCATAGCGCTCTTATCCGCCCGTACGCTTTCTCCAACCGCTCTTCCATCACACCTTCTCCTCTCCTTAACCCCGCCTCCCCTTCTCGCCCACTTTCTCCTGCCCCTCTCCTTACCCCCGCCCGCCGCCCACAGTGTGCAACGTTCGTGGGAACAGTGACGTACATGTCACCGGAGCGCATAGCGAATCAGAACTACTCTTTCCCCGCGGACATCTGGAGCCTCGGGCTCGCGCTGCTGGAGTGCGGCACCGGCACCTTCCCCTACACGGCTGATAAAGGGCCCATCAACCTCATGCTGCAGGTAGCACCTTCCCCTACACGGCTGATAAAGGGCCCATCAACCTCATGCTGCAGGTAGCACCTTGCTGATAACCCCCCCTGTGCTTTTCTCATTCTCCGCCTCACGCCACTCCCCTCGTCTTCCACACCGCTTCTCACTTACACCACCCATCCCTCCCACACCCCGCCTCCTCCCCCCAACTGTTCCGCTCCTGTTCCTCATGAACCCTCTGACCCACGCCTCAATTCCAATCCTACCTTTCTGTGGCTCATCATGGCCGTGGTGGCATGGTGATGGAGGACCCCGCACCCACACTGCTGCCGGGGTACTCAGCAGAGTTCCTCCCCACTCTACTCACAACGCCCTTATTCCCACTTCCAACCCGCTCTCCCCGCGCTCCCATGGATGGTACGGCATGGCAGGTGATGGAGGACCCGGCGCCCACGCTGCCGCCCGGGTACTCAGCGGAGTTCCAGTCGTTTGTCAACGACAGCCTTGAGAAAGACCCCTTCCAGCGCCCCACCGCTGAAGTTGTGAGTGCTGCACTGCCGTGCTCAGGGGTAGGCTTGAGCAAAATCTCGAACACCTGTTCGGTTCGCCTCGAACACCGAACTTTTTTTTTTTTTCCGCCTAATTCGTTCAGGGCGAACATGTTCGGTGTTCGGCCGAACATGTTCGCCGTTCGCCACCTCCATTTGGCGAAGGAAAGACGAACACGAACACGTTCGTGTTCGATTTGGGGGGCAGGCGAACACCAAAGTGTTCGCGTCAAAATTGGCCACGACCAAATTTAGGTCGCGGCCGTTTTGAGTTTGAGCTCATTTCTTGAGCTCAAACTCAAAACGACTTCGGCGCTTAGCCCTCCCTCCCACAACCGCCATAGCCTTGCGGTTTTAAGAGCCATCGCACACCGTTCCTTAACTTTTACACGGACATTTCATCTAACTAGTTAATAATAGTGTAGGGTAATTTCAGAAACACTAAGGGTTGATAGCTACAGGATCAAGCTTGTAGAGGTCAATTCTCTAGTTTCTGACCTGTGTGAAAATCGCTTTCTGACCTGTGTGACTATATCGAATATCCCCCTGGGCGAACACGAACATGTTCGCCTCGAACATGTTCGTGTTCGCCTGCTGCAGCAATTCGTTCGCCTCCTAGGGCGAACGGCGAACACCAATTTTCGCCCAAGTCGTTCGCCGAACCGAACACTGTTCGGTTCGGCAGAAGTCGATGTTCGAGAGGGGGCGAACTCGATGTTCGAGTTCGCCCCCTGCTCATCCCTACTCAGGGGTGCTCCGTGAAGTAGGCAAGAGGAGGCTGTGGTGCTGTGTGTGGGATTGAGGCAGCTTGCCACCACCATGGATAAACTACCTTCTTCTTTCCCTGCTCCTCGCCCTCCTCTATCTCCCACCCACAACCACCCAAGCAACTACCTGACCCGTCACACCACACACCCCTCCCTCTCCTTCCGCCTCTTTTTCCCTCGCCCACTGCTTCCCACCTCCCTCCCGCCCCCCCCCTCTTGTCCGCGGTGGGCGGGAGCAGCTGCTGCAGCACCCGTTCATAACGAAGCATGCGGAGGAGGACGTGGACCTGGCGGGGTACATTCAGGTCGTCACACCACACACTCCTCCCTCCCTCTCCTCCCCCCCTCCTATTCCCCTCCCAAACGAGAGCAGCTGCTGCAGCATCCGTTCATAACGAAGCACGCAGAGGAGGACGTGGACCTAGCGGGGTACATTCAGAACGTGGTCAACCCCACCGAGCGCCTCAAAGACCTCTCCAATGTCCGTCATGCCGCGTCAGGCACCCCTGAATGCATCGCCACTCAGCCCAGCTGTCTAAATTTCCAACCTTTTCTCCTCTCTCCGCGTACCCTGCCACATGTTCACCTCCCTCCCTTCCTCTCTCCCACGCACCCTTGCTGCTGTTGTGCAGCCTCAGTTTGTGAATGCTAATGCGGGGGGTGTGACTGTGTGTGTGCCTTACAGATGCTGATGGTGCATTACTACATGCTGTTTGACGGCCCTGACAAGATGTGGCCGCACATAGAGAGCTTCTACAAGCCAGACGCCACCCTCATGTACGTGTGCTGTGCTGTGCTGTGGGGCGGGCCACTCTCATCTTAGTAAGCCAGGGGTGTGCACATGCTGCCCGCCTGACAGCATGAAAGCATGTGGCCGCACATAGAGAGCTTCTACAAGCCCGATGCCACCCTCATGTACGTGTGCTGTGGGGTGTGCCGTCTCATTTAAGCCTCACAGCATGCAACCGCACCTTGCATCAGCATTCAACTTGTCTCTTCTCCGTGCCACTTACTGCCACCACCCCATCCATTCCACATGGCACTACCCACACAACCCTCTCCTACCCCTCTCTTTCTCCTCCAACACCCACCACTCCCCTCCCCTATCTCTTCTCTCCCACCCACCCTACCCTCTCGTCCTCCCGCCCTTGCAGGTTTGGGCACCGGGTGTACACGGGGGGAGAGCAGATATTCGCGACGCTGACGTCCATCCGCACCATGATGCTGGGCGAGGCCAAGTCGGAGCGCCTGGTGCACACCATCGAGAACCTCGAGTGCTGCGCGTACGGCCGCCGCGGCGTCATGGTGCGCGTGTCTGGCGCCCTCGTGGTCGGGCGGCAGTTCATCCCGCCGCCCGGCACGCAGGTGGAGGGTATTACGAGCGGCGGGGCGACGGGGTACAAGGGGCATGGGAAGAAGCTGGGGAGCTTCATAGAGCTGTTTGTGATCGAGCCGGGGGAGGCGTCGGGGTCGTACCTGGTGGCCAAGCAGGAGCTGTATGTGCAGAAGTGACGGGGAGCAGGAGCCGTATGCCCAGACAAGAAGGGAGAACGGATGTTTGTGGGATTGGATGGGGCAGACAGACAGACCCCTTGGGTGTGGGTGCTGCGCTGGGGTAAAGGGCAAGCCTGGTGGCAATGGGTGCAGCAGCGGCATGAGTGGTTGTCTTGGTGCATGCAATGAAGGAGGGACTATTCGCATGGAGGCCATTTGGAATGAGAATGCTCCCTGCTATGTTCCTCGATGGAGTAATATACAGCAACTGAGCAACAATGGAGAGTAGCTTGATGAAGAGCGGGAAGCTAGATGGGCTGTGAAGGCATAATCATATTGCCTCCATTCTGTACAACGGTGACTGATCAATGGTGGAAGAGTCAATGTAGCAAGAGTCACAAGCATGGGGACCATCTTCCATGAATTAAAGCGACGGGCAACTTTTGGCAGTGTTGGGTTCAGAAGTTTTTTTTTTGAACCAGGCTTGCCAGCGCGAAAGTGCTGGCTGGCGAAAACCAGGATTTCGTGCGGACACTTTCCATCCGCAGTAACAGTTCGCCAGGGTTCTGGGTTTTGGGTGGCAAATGTGCACCGTCGCTTTAAGGTGGACATAGCAGCAGTGACACTCTGACAATTTCATCCACTCTGACAATTTCTTTGTACAAGCAAAAAATATATTTATTGCAACTATGGAGGGTTCCCCCAGCGTATCCCCTGGTTTCTTGTCTGATGGCACATCCACCTGCTTTGCTGGAAGGCATCATCAGTTACCGGGCCGAGGTCCATGTACAAGCCGAGTCTAAAGACTAATAATCTAGGCAGCCTTTTCCATGCACCAAGGCAGTTTCTCGTCGGATTGCATGTCTGCATTCACTCGCTTCTGTGCACATACGTAACAGGGATAGTGGTCGCGAACAATCTCAAATCATTAATATACAAGCCCACTATACATCGCGGATCACCAATCCAAGACCTAGCCTAACTACATCGAAGAACTACAGGAGCATCCTATGCGCCCCAGCGGGAGGCTTATCATCACATTGCGCCCGCACGCCCCATTCCAGCAGGCATGCGGAGCAACCAGCCGTTGGCGCAGCCGCTGTCGGCTTGCTGCATTTCCCCGACCGCCATGCACCCCCCCTGCACGTTTTCCCCCAACTGCTCCATCGATACCTCCGCGCCCCACACTTCCGCAGCGCCCGCCCATGCCCGCTCCGCCTCCGCCGCTGCGGCGACGCTGGACGGACTGCCCAGCGACAAGCTTAAATCGCAGCCGTCCATTTCGGAGGACGATCGCGACAGCGCGACCGCAGCACCCGCGTGCTCCGAGCTCGCGGGGGAGGCGGAGCCGTACGGGGAGAATGCGGAGCGCACCGCCAGGTCCGCGAGGCTCTTGAAGGAGTCGATCGACTCCAGCCGCGGGGGCGACGGTGCTCCAACGGACGGCTGAGATCCGTTCCGCGAGGGGCAGTCGAGGAAATGGAAGAACGGTCCGGACTGTTCGGACTGAGAAGCAGAGGCGTGAACGTGGTTGCGAGCGGACGAGGCGTCTGTTTGAACCATCCGCGCCATGTGCGCCGCGATCGCGATCTCGTCTTCCGACAGCCCTGACGACTGCGAAAAAACGTCAACTGACGCGTCGTCCGGCTGGTTACCACCATCGCGACTCTTCGCGGCGGTCACCTGCGGGACCTGCGCGCGCATGGACTTGAACTGCAGCTCGATGGCGGACGCGTTTTGGCGTAAGGCGGCTGGCCAATGGGCGTCGTGTTCGACGAAAGGCAGCCATTCGGGCGGCAGAGAGTTGATGGTGGCCGCCTGCTTGAGCGTCGTCGCCCAGCCCCACGCTTCCCCGCGCGCCATTCCTGCACGATCAAATGCGCCTCTCGTTCCGTGCGATCCTGCTGGAAATACTAAAGCTGACAAGCGGCTTGTGCGTTGATGAATCTGTGGTGATTTTGATGCGGACGAGGCTGGAATGGAATACAAGGCGGATGTGGAATATATGTGCGCATGTGAAGGCGGAGTCGGTGCATGTGTCGGTTCAGTTTGGTTGCGCAGTCTCACAGAACAAGTGCTGTCTCAGGGAGTCTTCCCACAAACGGCCTTGGAGTTTGGCTTGGCGCGTGATTTGCCTTTCGCCTCGCCGCTGCACGCCACGACACACTGAGCGCAGCTGCGCTTCGGCGAGGGGGCTGGCACTTGCTTCCAAATCAGCGCGCCTCGATGTTTGCTCGCGAGGGGGTGGGAATTTGGGAAACATGCGGACCCGTCAGGTTGGAATTGGGTTTCGGTTGGTTGAGGCAGCGGTGTTGGCGGCAGGCGGTGGTCCAAAGCAGGTGGCAGGTGATGAATGGCCAGCAAGAAATGTTGTCGCAAAACTTTGCTGTAATCTGCGCGGGATGCGGGAAACAGGTCTGGCGCCATCAGGTTTGCGGAGGGGTCCTTCAGGTGGTCCCCGCAAAGTACCGGGCCACTCAGTAAGTACAACGCTTAGTGTATTCATGGCTTAAACTCCACCACGCAAAGTGGACTAAATGGTGTTGCTTAGTCAGGGTATTGCCCCAAACGTATATCGTTTGATAGGAGTCTTTGACTGAAGTTTTCCTTTTTGGTAGCATTGCTCAAACATATGTCGTTTCGAAAAAGCATTTTGGTACATACAGAGTCATCTTGTAACGGGTTTAACGCCGTCAAGGGGCAATGTTTGTCTTCTGTGTTTCTCGGCCCTCCCTAACATACATCGCTGGGCCCCATGTTCTCTTCACCGATCCCCACGTGTCCACTGCACCCATGGCAGGTGGCGCGGAAAGCCATAGCTACCGACCGATTATACCAGTCTTCGGTACCGCACTCCACCAGAACCTTTGTCGACACGAGCGGAAGGCATTTTCGCACCACTCTTTTCAGCCTGTGCAGGCAGACGCCGCCTCCCAGCGGGTTTGTGCACTTGCAACCCCGCAATGTGCCGTCAGCTAGTAACGGGAGTTTTTTCTCCACCCGGGATTGCTCGGAAGAGCGCGCGGCGTACTGGCGGAGCGTAGAGGGTGCTCGAGATGGTATGGCGCTTGGTAGCCCTTCGCTTCTTTCAGCTCTTGCTCGTGTTGGCTCGCATTCGCCGCACGACCCCTCTCCGCACTCCCGCTTCTGCGTGACTGGGCCTTGCCATTTCCGATTCCCCCGACTGCCGCCCACCAGGCGCGCTTCTGGTCGACCCCTACGCTGGTCTGCTGACCGCGGCGGAGGGATCAGAGCGGGAAAGAGAAGCAGAGAGACAAGGGGATGCGGGAGATGATGCGGAGAAGGCGGCGGGGGAGGCGGCGTCGTATCTGGTGGCGACGCGGTTCCTGGACGACTCGATTCAAGAGGCGGTGGCGCAGCTGGTGGGCGGCACAGAGGAGGTCCGCCAGGTAGCGTCGTGTGACTGCTGCTCGCACCCATGGCATACCAGCACCCTCGTCTCTCACTCTCACATGCTTGTTGTCTGGCTCTGATTGAAGCGGCGGCACCATTGCAGGTTGTTCTTCTAACGGACGGGTGTGACACGCGCCCGTACCGCATGGCGTGGCCGCGCCCCATGGTGGTGTTTGACGTGTCACCTGCTGCGCCCTACACCGCCTGCCACAACCTCCTCCTCGGTGAGCCACCTGCACTCACGCCTGCCTTGCCCATCCAGCCCTCCCGCTCTAGACTTCATTCCCAGCACTTGATTTATGAATGAATTCCATTCTGTCTCCTTTGCTCCCTTTCTCTCAGAGGCTGGAGCGCGGCCAGCCTGTGGATCGGTGGTACGCCACGTGTCAGCTGACCTGTCCACCGGAGAGGACTGGCGGGACGAAGGTTGGGGCGAGAAGCTACAGAGGCTCGGATACAGAGGAGACAGGCCGAGCCTGTGGGTGTTGCAGGTGCGGTCCAAAGCTTCCGCAGCAGAGCACATGGCCTGCCCCCCATGGCCTGTCTGCGCTACTTTGTGACCTAACCCGTGCCTTCCTACCCCGTTTCCCCTTCCAGGGGCTGCCCCACCTGTCACCGTCAGGCCTGAAGACCATTCTGGGCCACCTGCAGGGGCTGCTCATGGCAGGCTGCCAAGTCATTGGGGAGCTGCCCTTGGCTGTTGGTGGTGCTGCAACAGACTCACGAGAGGACTCTTCGGATGCTGTCGCTGCTCTCTCCTCCCTGTTTGCCTCTCATGGGCTTCTGGCTGAAGTGCAATCAATTGCCTCAATCGCTGCCCTGTATGCTCAACAGTGCCCCACAGCCCGCCATCTCTTAGATCATTTGGAAGGATCTGATGGGCCAGCACCGAGAAATATGATGATGTTTTCGGCAACACAGCAGCGAATGTCAGATGCACAGGTGAGAAAGTTAGTGTCAATGGCAAAGCTAGTGCCGCGCTAGTTATGGAGACAACGCAGTTACCACACCCAACTGATGCCAATTCATGCTTCTCTTGAACCATCCAGGTCGAGCTTCTGACAGAAGAGATGCGCATCGCAGAGGCATGGGGCGATGAAGAAGGCTTTGAGGACCTATCTTGAGAGTTCTCTTCACTAATAAGCATGCTCAAGTATTTTATTGATTGTTGTTTTATGAAATGATTGGTGTACCATGGTTTCTTGGAGCATACAAATATCGAAGCACTGAAAGAGTTCGTCCTTTCTGACAGAGTTTCGCACAAGACAAATGCCTTGCAGCGATTTGGCGGTGTCGCTTCGTAAAGGGATCACCACATAGAGTCGATGGCGAATGCCACGTGTGCGGCTCACACAACTAGGGAGTCCCCGCGCCCGCGGTCAACCTTGGTGTTGTCAGCAACGGAACTAGGCTGGTTGCCAGTGCTCTCCTCGGTAGGCTGACCAGGCATTTTCCGACGAATCGCAGATGCTGTTGGTTGAGAATTTGGGACCCGTTGCTGTTGACAGTCCCTACATATGATCAACCAACTTCAAGCTCCATCAATCCTGCTGGAACTATCCCACCTCTAGTTCTTCTCAAGCCACCTCCCTAGTCTGTGGATTCAGCTCCAGTTGTCCGTGGTTTACCTCCAGAATCACGCAAAATCATGTCGAACCAACGCACTGTTGCTGCTCATCCGTGGCACGACTTGGAAATTGGTACGGACTGATTTAGTAGCAAGCTTGGCCGATCGCATACTATCTTCCAGGCCCAGAAGCTGCTGGTCAAGTTCCCGTACTGACATTTTTGCCCGATCGCATCGTATTCTCCAGGTCCTGAAGCTCCTACTATCTTCAACGTTGTCGTAGAAATCTCTAAGGGAAGCAAAGTCAAGTACGAGCTCGACAAGAAGTCCGGCCTTATCAAGGTATTCTAGCTTGTTCCGTCGGATCCAAGTTCCTGGATATGTTTTGTTATCTTGTGTCATATTTTTCAATTCATATATGCTCCGACATTTGTTGCAGGTTGACCGCATTCTTTACTCTTCGGTGGTATATCCTCACAACTATGGGTTCATCCCGAGGACTCTCTGCGACGACAACGACCCAATGGATGTCCTCGTCTTGATGCAGGTATGCATCTGCCGATGAGTATATATCTTCTAATTTGACTCATGAAACATTACAAGAACAAAAGAACTTAAAGCTTACGCTCAGAAAGGATACACATATTGCGACAACAACAGTCGTGAATTCAATTATTACAGAAGACGATTTCATCAGAAGTGACCTTGTATGAGATAAATCATAAATCCCTCTTTTCATTCAAACAGGAGCCAGTGATTCCTGGATGTTTCCTTCGCGCCAGGGCCATTGGGCTTATGCCTATGATTGATCAGGTCAGTGCCGTTTTTGTAATTGTGACGAAACCGGCTTGGTTGCATCCCTTATTGGAGCCATGAAATTGACGAGCTGTCACGCGCCGTCACTTCAGGGAGAAATGGACGACAAGATCATTGCTGTGTGCGCCGATGACCCAGAGTACAAGCACTTCAAGTCTATTGACGAGCTTCCGAGGCACAGACTGCAAGAAATCAAGCGTTTCTTTGAGGACTACAAGAAGAACGAGAATAAGGAAGTCGCAGTCAACACTTTCCTTGGCGCCACAGAAGCCATTGAAGCTGTGAAGAAGTCCATGTAAGCTCATCAACAGCATTCCTTATCCTGCAACATGTGCTCAGGAGTACTTGCGTTTGACAACTTAAGCTGCCAACTGCTTCTGCTTCCCGTGCTTCTCTTTCCGAACACCTCTTTACGTTCTCTCTGAAACCTTACATGTTCAAACCCCCTTCCCCCGACCCTCTTCCTCCCTGTCCTCTGGTTCTCCATCTCAACATCCCACTCGTATTCCCCCCTCCTGCCCCAACTCCCCCTCCCTCATTTCACTCTTGCAGCCTTTCTATTTCCCCCTTTGTCAATGCTACCGCCCCATTGATTTTCCTTATCATGCCCTACCTTGTCCTTTTTGTCTCCAATTATGCAGGGATTTGTACGGCCAGTACATCTTGGAAAGCTTGCACAAATAACTGGTTTATGCGTGTTTGTCTGTTACACGATGTCTAAAATGCAATTTCCTACTCTCTCCACTGCAACGTTTTACCAAGAGCTACAGCTGGTTGACCAGCTTCATTGAACACAGGCTACCGTCGTGATATGACCCAGGCAACACTGCACCCACACAAATTGCACCTTGGCACCGAGTAGCTCAAACACTTGCCGGTTGCAGTCCATGGAGTCTGTATGCTTTTTACCCTACGCAAATGCTCTTAGCAGGTATGCAGCACAAACAAGCCAAGAGAGCATGTGCAGTGCAGGTGGACATATCGTATGCGTAGGTAAAGTTCCTTTTTCCCCCCTTCATCCCTAACGCTTGGAAACGGGAAAACGGTGGTACAGTTCAATTCACAAGATGTATCGTACAAGGGGCTGTGTTCCACCCATGATGACGAACATTTGCCCTTGCAGCAAAAATAAGGAGCTGGCAATAACTACCATGCTCATGGGCACTACTCACTACTCAATATCACACAGCAGAGAATGCCTGGTCACCAGATCCTAACTGAATCTCCCTCACTGCCGCCCGCAACATGTCCCTCTGTGATTGGTCCACCTGCCCCTCCGCCTGCATCCAATCACACACAAGAGGAGCAGAGAAGAGCAGAGACGAGGGAGGATGTTATGAGCAACCAATGGGAACACTGAACACGTGGCAGCGTGCTGAGGCAGTGTCTGTGAAGCACACGCACCATGAGCGAGTCGAGGTACTCTGCTTGCTCTGCAAGCTGCTGCTTCCACACGGCAATGGCCTCGTCCCGCTCCCTCATCGCCTCCATTGCCTCCTTCAGTGACAGCACCTCCGCCACCAGCTCCTCCCGTTGCTGCACACGTGATTAGTGCGCACGAGCAATGCACACAGGGAGGGCAGCACGAGGGGAGCCAAAGAGTGTTGAGGCACAGAGGAGTGATGAAGAAAGCATGGGGAGGTGGGGCCAGGGGAGGAGAGAGTGAGGTGGGGAGGGAGGAGGCTGGTCTAATAGGTACCCCACGTACGAGCAGCACACTTGAACCCCCCGCCCGCCCAAGACTACCAGATTCAGCACCGCTCTTCTTCCAGCTTCTGCCGCCAACCTAAACCCCATGTGGTGCTGCAGCAGACGGCGCACCTGCTGTTCCTGAAGGGACTTCTTGCGCGCGTTGAAGATGCTCTCACTGATGTCCTCCGCTGTGCGCCGTGCCTCCTCCACCTCCGCTGCCAGCTCATCCGCCCGCCGCCGCGCCGCCTCCAGCTCTGCTATCAGCTTCTGCGGGTCCTGCCTGCTCCGTGCAAGGGAAAGGGGGTAAGGGCGGGAACGGGTGGTGAAGAAGGGAGGAAGGATGGAGAAAGGTTGGGGCTTTAAGGTGCAGGGTTCATTAGAAGAGAAGAGAAGCGGCAGAAGGGCCAAACCAAGGTTCACAAAATGTGGTGCCATGCATGCAATCCCATGCAAATGAACCGTGACATCATGCATGCACGCGCAGACACGTGGACTAAAAGCCCACGGCACCCCCCACTGCAGCCGCAGTGTGGCACTCACTTGAGCAGGCCTGGCAGTCCGCCTCCCGACCCGCCAGCAGTGAGGGCGTCCGCCAGCTCCGCCTCCCTCCTCTCCGCCGCCTCCAGCTCCTCGTTCAAATCCGCTATGCGCATCACCAACCCCGTCACCTGCGCGCACACCACACACACCGCAGGGAGGGCACAGCAGGAAGGAACGAGGAACGTTCTAGAATGCACAAGGGACGAGAAGTAAGGGAGGGTGGCTGCACGCACGCCTTTCAACATCCATAAATGCACTTCTCCCCTCTTTCTGTTACAACAAAACCACACGCCCTCCCATCCACTCCCCCCCCATCCTGCTTCCAAAAACCCTTTGCCCACCTGCCCAGCAAACGCCTCGGCCTCGGCGTTGGCGGCATCCTCACGGGCAGCCAGCAGTGCCACCTGCGTGCTGAGCTCCTCTATGCGCTGGTTGGCCGCCGCCAAGGCCTGCTTGGACGCCTGCTCGCGCTCACGCAGCGCCGCCACCTGCCCCAGGAACAGCCCCACACACTCGTCCACCGTCGCCCCCAGCGCCCTCCGCGTCTCCTCCACCTCCTTCTCCACGCGCCTCTGCTCCTCCCGCTCTTGAGGCGTTTGCGGGGGCGAGGCGGGGGCGTTAGCGGGTGGGGAGAGCTGCTGGGCGATGAAGGAGGAGGGCGGCAGGGCCGTGCCGTTCACGGATGAGGTTGATGAGGGCGATGGCCGCACCTGCAAGGGGTGGGGGGAGTAGGGAGTGAGTGTTGGGGCCGGTGGGGGTTTGACAGGCAGGTGGTCATGGGGCATGAACATGGGCTAGTGGCCATGGGCTAATGCAAATGGGCATGGGCATGAAACCATGCAACTCCACCAGGCACTCACGGGCACGGGTTCGGCAGTGCGAGAGTCAAACACCACCGCAGCATCCCACGGCGCTGCACTGTCCCTCTGCCCAGCCCCCCCTCTGCCTCTCTCCGCCGCAGCACTCCTCTCCTCCGCCGCCGCCAGCCGCTCGCTCATCTCAGCCAGCCGCTCATACGCGGCCTTGGCAGCGGCCTTGGCAGCAGCCTCGCGCTGCTCCACGTCCTCCACCTGTCGGAACAGCTCCTCCACGCGTGCATTGGCCCGCATCGCCGCCTCCACGGCCGCCGCCTCGCTCTCCTCCACCAGCGCCAGCTTGCGACTCGCCGCCTCCGCCTCTCTCACCGCCACGGCCTCGCGCTGCTGCACGGCCGCCACCTCGCTGTGCAGCTCCGCCACGCGCGCGTCTGCCCGCTGCGCCAGCGCCTGGGCCTCCTCCTCGCGCTCGATCAGCTCCGACACGCGGGTGGAGAGGAACGAGATGTGGTCGTTGGCCGTCTGCAGCGCCTCCTGCAGCTCCGTCTCGCGCCGGGTCAGGTTCACGATCTGCTCCGACAGCAGTCCGATGCGCCGGTTTGCCGCGTCGATCTCCTGCCGCGTGCCCGCGTCCCGCGCCTGCAGCGCCCCCAGCTGCCCGCTCACCGCCTCGTACCGCCGGATCGCCTCGTCCGCCGCTGCCTCGCGCTCCCTCAGCTTCGCCACCTCCTTGGATATCTCCCCCACCGACCGCTCCGCTGTCGCTGCTGCCGCCTTGGCGGCCTGAAGGTCGTTCACCAGCGCGTCCACACGCACCTCCAGTGCGTCCGCCCGCTCGCGCGCCGTCCTCTCGCTGTCCCGTATCTCGGCCTCGCGTGCTGCCGCCTCCTCCAGCTGCTCCGACAGCACGGCCACTCGCTCCAGCGCGGCGCGAGTGGCGGCCTCGGCCTGCGCCTCCTTGCGTTTGAGCTCCGCCACCTTGCTGTTGAGCTCCTCCAGTCGCTCCTTGATGTCGCCCACCGACCCCAGCCCCTGCAGCTCTGTCGCCATGCTCTCGTACCGCCGCTGCGCCTCCTCCGCCACCTGCTTCGCGCTTGCCTCCTTGCGCCCCAGCTCCTCCACGCGCCGCAGGATCGCAAAGTACCGCCGGTCCGCCGCGCGCGCGGACGTGCGCGACTTCTTCTCGCTCTCACGGATGGCGCTGAGCTGCCGCAGGAAGAACTCGTTGCGGTCCGTGGCCGCCTGCAGGGCAGCGCGTGTCTGAGACAACAGCCCCTCCAGCTCCACCACGCGCCCCACCAGCTCCCCCGCCTCTTCTGCCGTCAGCGCCTGCACGCGCCCAGCCTGCACGTCGCGGCGCCGCTCCTCGGCCTGCCGGTCGGCGTCCTCAGCCACGCGGCGGCGCTGCTCGTCCAGCTCGCGCAGCAGCGCCTCCACGCGGCGCTCCGCCATGCGCGCCTGCTTGCGTGCGGCCTCCTCGCGCGCCTTGAGTGCCGTGACCTGGCGGAAGAAGAAGTCGATGCGGTCCTTTGCTGCTGCTGCCGCCGCGTCCGCTGTGTGCACCCGTGAGTTGGCGCCCTCCAACAGCAGCTGATGGGGAGGGGTTGGTTTGGGAGAAGGAAAACAGGGAGTGAGCGAGAGGAGAACGAGCGGGAAGAGTGGGGTGGGTTGTTGTTTGGTATTGGAAGGCACGGTTCAAGAGGGAGAGAGAGAGAGACGGCCCCAGTGGTGACTGTTTCCGTGAACGATGAAAGCTCTTCTCACCTTGAGAGATCTGACTTCATCGCTGCTTCCACTGCTGCCGGGACCTCCTCTTGCTCCTCCTGCTGCCTCTGCTGCTGCCTGCAGGGCAGAGCACAACACAGCACAGAAGCACCACAGAGAAGCCGGGCAGAATGGGGAGCAGGAGGAATGAGGGAGCGAGAGAGACCATTGGAAGCGCCATGAGAGTTGCCTGCTAATGCACCCTCACGTGTGCTGCCCTCCCCGCCCACGTGCCTCTCTGTGCCCACCTCGCACTTGCCACGTGCAAGCAAGCCACACCCACCTTCTCACCCACTCCCCCACGTACCCGCCCACAAGCCCGTCCCCCAATCCTTCCCCCCCCTCTCCACCCCACCTGGCACAGCTGGTGCACGAGGGAGTGGTCAGCCGCAAGGCGGTGGCGGAAGCGGTCAGCAGCCACGCGCGCTAGAGCCACCTGCCAGTCGTTGGCGTGCGTGCCGCCCTCCTTGGCCGCCAGGCGCCGCCGAAACTCCTCCTGCGTCAGCTGCAGCACGCGCTTGCTGTCGCCCGCACTCAGACTGTCCCTCAGCTGCTCCAGGAGAAGGCGGGGAAGAGGGGAGGGGGGATGGAGTGGGTAGCGATTCATAAAGGCATACGCATGACGAGCCAGCGAGTGAACCAGTGCGTGGGCGAGGGGTGGTGGTGGGGGGATTGGCAGTACGGGAAAGGGTGGGGAGGCGGCATGGGAGGGGGGCTGCATGGAGTGATGGGCGAGCCGGGGGGGGGGAGATGGCGCGGGTGCAGGGGGCAGAGGGGGAATGGTGGCGGGCAGCGGGTGAGTGAGGAGGGTGAGTGAGGAGGGTGAGTGAGGAGGGTGAGTGAGGGACGGGTGGAAGCACACGGTGATTGAGTGGCATGCGGTACAAGAGGCGCACGCCTGCATGCGCCACCAGGCCAAGTGCGGCCTGATGGGGCTGGGGAGGTGGGAGCGGGGCGGCAGCATTACCCGCGGCAGCATGCACGCACCTTCTCCCATGGCAGCATGCACGCACCTTCTCCCATGGCAGCATGCACGCACCTTCTCCCATGGCAGCATGCACGCACCTTCTCCCATGGCAGCATCACGCACCTTCTCCCATGGCATGGCAGCATGCACGCACCTTCTCCCATGGCAGCATCACGCACCTTCTCCCATGGCAGCATGCACGCACCTTCTCCCATGGCAGCATGCACGCACCTTCTCCCATGGCAGCATCACGCACCTTCTCCCATGGCATGGCAGCATGCACGCACCTTCTCCCATGGCAGCATCACGCACCTTCTCCCATGGCAGCATGCACGCACCTTCTCCCATGGCAGCATGCACGCACCTTCTCCCATGGCAGCATGCACGCACCTTCTCCCATGGCAGCATGCACGCACCTTCTCCCATGGCAGCATGCACGCACCTTCTCCCATGGCAGCATCACGCACCTTCTCCCATGGCATGGCAGCATGCACGCACCTTCTCCCATGGCAGCATCACGCACCTTCTCCCATGGCAGCATGCACGCACCTTCTCCCATGGCAGCATGCACGCACCTTCTCCCATGGCAGCATGCACGCACCTTCTCCCATGGCAGCATGCACGCACCTTCTCCCATGGCAGCATGCACGCACCTTCTCCCATGGCAGCATGCACGCACCTTCTCCCATGGCAGCATGCACGCACCTTCTCCCATGGCAGCATGCACGCACCTTCTCCCATGGCAGCATGCACGCACCTTCTCCCATGGCAGCATGCACGCACCTTCTCCCATGGCAGCATGCACGCACCTTCTCCCATGGTAGCATGCACGCACCTTCTCCCATGGCAGCATGCACGCACCTTCTCCCATGGCAGCATGCACGCACCTTCTCCCATGGCAGCATGCACGCACCTTCTCCCATGGCAGCATGCACGCACCTTCTCCCATGGCAGCATGCACGCACCTTCTCCCATGGCAGCATGCACGCACCTTCTCCCATGGCAGCATGCACGCACCTTCTCCCACGGCAGCATGCACGCACCTTCTCCCATGGCAGCATGCACGCACCTTCTCCCATGGCAGCATGCACGCACCTTCTCCCACGGCAGCATGCACGCACCTTCTCCCATGGCAGCATGCACGCACCTTCTCCCACGGCAGCATGCACGCACCTTCTCCCATGGCAGCATGCACGCACCTTCTCCCACGGCAGCATGCACGCACCTTCTCCCATGGCAGCATGCACGCACCTTCTCCCATGGCAGCATGCACGCACCTTCTCCCACGGCAGCATGCACGCACCTTCTCCCATGGCAGCATGCACGCACCTTCTCCCACGGCAGCATGCACGCACCTTCTCCCATGGCAGCATGTACGCACCTTCTCCCACGGCAGCATGTAGGGGTTGATGGAGGGGCGCACCGCCTTCAGCGCCGCCAGCGCGCCGTCCACCGCCTGCCCGCGCACCAGCGTCAGGTACCTGCGCGCGCGCACGCAAGGGAAAGGGGGGAGGGGGGTGGTTAAGGGGGAGTGGCAGGGGAAGGGGAAAGAGAAGGGTAGTGACATGGCGACAGGGAGCAAGGATGGGCGACGAGGGGCGTACCCGAGGGCGACGAGGGGCGCCTTGTCGTTGCCGGAGGAGCAGCACACGTGCACCGTGTAGCCGCGCGACAGCAGCAGATCCACGGCTGAGATGGCGCGCGGCAACGCCATGTCCTGCGCGATGCACGGCACGCGCACGTTCGCATGGGCGCATGGGCGACGGATAAGCGGCAAATGGGCGACAGATGGGGATGGGGTGCAGGCACGGCGCAAGGGTGGGCATGGCGCAAAGGGTGGGCATGGCGCAAAGGCGGGCATGGCGCAAGGGTGGGCATGGCGCAAAGGCGGGCATGGCGCAAGGGTGGGCATGGCGCAAAGGCGGGCATGGCGCAAAGGCGGGCATGGCGCAAAGGCGGGCATGGCGCAAAGGCGGGCATGGCGCAAGGGTGTGCATGGCCTGTGGTATGCGGGCCAAGGCAGTCCTTAATTGCGCGCTCCTCACACGCTCCCCCTGCTGCCTCCTCTCGACACAAGGGCACTGCGCGTGGCTCCGCTGAGCATGCGAGCGCGCAGGTGGTTGGTTCGTGGTTGGTTCTTCACGCGTTCATTGCCGTGTGTCGCTCGCTCACTCACCACACTTTCTTATTCCTTCTCCCCACAACCCTACTCTCATCCCCATCCACCCCAGCCCCATACCCCCTCCCCACTTCCCCTCCCCTTCTCATTCCCTCTTTCCCCTCCCCCTCCCCCCGTCACCACACACCACCCCCTCCCCGCACCTGTTCGTCCTGGTTAACGTCCGCGAGCGCCAGGCTCACGGCCACCATGCCCATCGCCTGCGCGCGCTCCGCCACCCGCGCCCACTCCTCCTGCCGCGCCCCGCCCTCCTGCACACAACGGCGGCGGACGTCGGGGGGAGGACAGAAGGAAAAAGGGGGAAAAAGGAGTGAAAAAAAAAGTGATGAATACCCCAGAAGCAGCAGCAGCAACAGCAAGGCGGGAAGGGAGAGTGGCGCGAAGCAGAGTGGCGGACTCACCTCCACGCAAAGCACCGCATTCACTCCCGCCCGTGTCGCGAGCGCCTCGAGCGCGGCCTGGTCGCGCGGAGTGGTGCCGATGAGAATGTTCGGCGCCACGGCGTTCCACTCCACGCCGCCTGCCCAACCCCCCAACGCAATCGCACCCCATCATGCCGACGGACCTTTGAGGAAAAAAAAAACGAACGTTTCCGGGGTTTGCGTCGCCATTGCCATACAGGGTAACGCGCAGACCAGCTTTGTGCATCTCAACGGGTAAATTGGCAAAGCTCGAGGCTCGCTTAGACTGTCGAACGGCGAACGAGCCAACTCTCACCTGCTCCCCCGCTTCCGCTTGATGCGAATTGCGCCACGACGAGTCGCGCTGAACCATTTCCGTTCCGGTCATGCCGAGTTATGCGCGATCGATGCGACAGATGTAGGCGACACTTCCTTGACGACGAACTAAAGCGAAACCGCAGGTGCGAGCCTCGCGAAAGGAGATTGGTTTGGTTACCAGCGACGGAGGAAATACATGGCTCTGGAGACACGAGAGCGCAAATGGTGCCACGTCGGATGGAGGAGGTGGACGGGGTTAACGCGACGGCCGCCATGCGGAGTGCGAGCGTGATCTAGGCGGTGCCGGGATGTAGGGAAGCAGGTTAGCGATGGAAGAGAGGAGTGCTTCACGAGATACGCGCGGGACCCATGGTGGTGTCGGAACGATTTCGCATCGCCGTGTTATAGACTTGCGTGCAGCGGCCGGCAGGCCAGGGCTGTGAAGGTGCGATCACGATGGCCTAAGCTGTTCCGAACCCGGGATCAGCGTCGCCGACTACTCCAAGGTTTTCCCACAGTCGAAGTTAAATAAAAAAACCTAGAGACTCCCGAAACCTCGGCAGTGGGTCCACCACCAGGTTGAACACTCCTTGAGCGACGATGCGCCTCGTGCAACCAACGGCTCCTAAATCGCAAAAAAATGATGAGTTGGATGGGATGAGGTGAGTGAGGGTGTGTTGAGTCGAGGCGAGGCGGACGAAGGGCCGCAATTACGCCCATCCGTGGGAGCGGGGAGCGGAAGCGGGAGACCGCGCAGCCCTGCGGGGAAGCTGAAAAATGAACACTGAAGCCGCGTTGGGCCAACGTGACAAGTGTGAATGTTTTGGATGTGAAAAGCACATGCTGACGTGGCAAATCTGTCAGCATTGATCAGCTCGAGATCCTTTCACTTTTGGCACCGTGGCCAATTCGAGCCACACTTTCCCGATAGATAGGGTGAGCAGCGAGGGTTCATCGCGGGCAGGGTGTAAAGCCACTGATGCCACGTCAGAGTATTTTTCCCGCTCATTATCATGTTCCAACTGGCTTCGTTTGACCCGTAAACCAGGATTTATTCATCGGAGCTCTCACCCTTGTAACACACGACCTCTCTGACAACCGAGGATGCGTCTTCGATTTAGGTGGTGACTCGCGGCTTGCGACTGAAGTTCAAACAAGGACAATAGAACGAAATACCCCCTTTGTGGTTTAGCGACAACGAAAACGCGCCCTTGTTTGGAGCTTTATCTGAAAACACAGGCAGGGGCAGCACACATGTGGGTTTCGTCACAAACTGTTGCCACGTGGAAGCCCCTGGTGGGCCAGTTCTCTCCCAACTCAGCGCAGATCTGGCACGCGAAGGAGTGGTTCTGCGACAACTCGAGTGGAGCAGCCATTACAACAGAGTTGATCGCAGAATCGCATACACATACCAGCAGTGAGCTCTCTCACAAGAGTAGTCTCTTGTATATTTGTCTCGTGGGTTGAACCTTTGATAGGCCACTAAACGCCTATCCATTGAAGCTAGTTTCTGTTATCGTATTCGTCGCCTATCGAAGCCAATATGGCGCCACCGTATGTATCGCAGGTACGTGGCACGTGTGTCGTCCGCAATGAGCTGCCGCCAGTCACTCCCTTCGCCCCGTCAACCAGCCCAATGCCGTCGCCGGGTGTGCTCACTCGACTGCTCGCGCGCTCCTCCATTGCAGTTCAGCGATTGCTGCATTTTTCCATCGTCTGCACCTCTTGATTTCCTCCCCTTCCCCCAAACCACGTCCCTTCCCCGTTGCCCTCCGCCAGTCTCTCTTGCTGCCCGCCAAACTCAATGGCGCCTCGCGGGTGCTGCTTTCCACCAATCCCTTGGCTCAAGTTCCTCGCGGCCGTGCGCGCGGAAGCGGCGTGGTGCGCGCATCCGTGAGTGTGCTGGACGAGGCGGAGCGCGAGCTGCAGCGCAAGTCGATGGCGGAGCTGCGCGCCCTGGCCAAGGCGCGGGGGCTGCGCGGAGATACCAAGGCGGAGCTCGTGGAGCAGCTACTGCTGTGAGTCACCACGTGCCGTGGCGTGCCGTGCCGTGCCGCGCGTGCGCACGGCTCGCACGGCAGTTGGCGGCCAGTCGCGCCTCTGTTTCCCCCCACACTGTTCCCGCACCTTTCACACCCCTCCTTTTTCCCTCCCTCCGTTTCTCTGCCATCGGCGCTCCGCCATCCGCCTTCTGCCCTCAGTCCATTCCCCGCGCCTGTCTTCCCTCCCCTTCCCCCTCCCCGCCCTTTCAGATCAGGCGCGGCCTCACTCGCGTACTCCGCTCCTGCGCAACCACCCGCCCCCCCGGCCGTGGTGCCGGGCGGCGCGGACGCAATGACGCAGCTGCTGGAGAAGATGCCGCTTCCGCAGCTGCGCGAGCTGGCGCGCGAGCGGGGCTCGCGGTCGTCCACGCGCGCCGACATCCTGAGAGACCTGCGCCTGTACGCATGGGGCGATAGGGAGGGAGGGGAGGGGAGGGGGGGGGTGGGAGCAGCAGAGGGCGTGGAAGGTGAATGCGGTGGTGCGTCGTGCTGATACCGCCGTGCCCTTGCTTCGCTAGCAGACCCATCCGCCATCCCGCCCCCTCACTTCCTTCTCCCTTGTCCCCTTCGTCCCCTCCTCATCTCTTTGCTTGCACTCATTTTTTCTCTCCCCGCCTCCTCCATCCCTCTTCTCCCCCCCCAGCATAATGGCCGGACAGCCCCTGCCCAAGCCTCCCCCGCGACCCGCGCCTGTCATCCCCCCGCCCTCCCCCTCGCCCGCGCCCCCAGCCTCCCCGCCCGCTGCCGCAAAAGGCGTGTCTGCACCTGCGCGCCCCCCCCCAGCAGCCTCGGCGGGCGCAGGCGGAGGGGCAGGAGCGCGGGAGAAGGAGCTGTTGGGGTTGGGGCTGGCGGAGCTGCGGCAGATGGCGCGCGCGCAGGGCGTGCGCGGGGACACCAAGGCGCAGATCGTCGCCGCGCTGCTGTCAGTGCCGGGGGGTTTGGGGCTATGGGCGGAACTACGGAGCGGGGTGGGGTTGGGGGGAGAGAGCGGGGGAGGAGAGGGTGGGGAGTTGTGATTCGCGCAGTGCCGTGCGTGCAATCGTGCCTGACATGCGTGCATGCCTCGTCCCTTCCCCTCCCCCTTCCTCCCCCGTCTGCCCATCCCCGAAGCTCACATGCGCGCCCCTCGTCCCCCACACGCCCCGCCTGCCCTCCGCAGAGCCCAGCAGGCCGCCACGCCAGTCAAGGCCAAACCGCCCTCCCCACAACCCGCTGCTCCTGCTGTTGCCGCCTCTCCTGCTCCCGCGGCCGCCAAACCTGCTCCCAAACCAGCTGCTCCCAAGCCTGCGGCTGCCAAGCCTGCAGCAGGTGGGGGGGCGGCGAAAGGGGCGGCGGAGAAGGCGGCGGGGGAGAAGGGGGAGGTGGAGCTGGCGTTGGAGGCGATGGATATGGGCGAGCTGCGGTACCTGGCGCGGGAGAGAGGACTCAAGGGCGACACCAAGGACGAACTCGTCAAGGCCCTCGCGTGAGTCGCGCCCCCATGCACACGCACACGCATTCTTCTACCTTACCCCCGCCTCCTCGCCACCTTCCCTCCTTCCTGCTTCTCCCCATGCCGCCTTCCATGCCTCTCACTCCCTTCGGCTGCCCCCATCACAGCTCCCCCCCTTCTCCCCTCCCCCCCCCCCCTTTCCCAGCGAAGGACCGCCCCCCACGTTGGGGTTCATCGGGCTGCCTCCGCCCTCCGCCCCCCGCCGCCGCCGCATGCCCAAGTTCCGCGCGCCCCCTAAAGACGTCCCCGCGTCCGCCGCCGCTGCTGCAGCTGGCGCTGAGCAGGCGGAAGGGGAGCAGGAGAAGGCGCAGGCGGAGGAGGTGGCGGCAGCAGGGGAGGAGGCGGCGAGGGAGGCGGAGGTGGCAGGTGCGGAGGCGTTGCTGCCGCCCTTCCAGTCCACCGCTGCACCCGACTCCCCTTCGCCCGCCCCTCTGCTGCCCGTGACTGTGAGTGCTGCCCGTGACTGTGAGTGCTGCCCGTGACTGTGAGTGCTGCCCGTGACTGTGAGTGCTGCCCGTGACTGTGAGTGCTGCCCGTGACTGTGAGTGCTGCCCGTGACTGTGAGTGCTGCCCGTGACTGAGTGCTGCCCGTGACTGTGAGTGCTGCCCGTGACTGTGAGTGCTGCCCGTGACTGAGTGCTGCCCGTGACTGTGAGTGCTGCCCGTGACTGTGAGTGCACCAACGTCCTCCCCACCCAAAGTCAAGGAACGAAACGATAGAACTTCCCAGAAATTCAAGTAGGTACAAGAAACCCCACCTTGCTCGTTCACTTCCCTGGCTCCTCCTCAACCACCCCTCTCTTTCCTTCCCCTCCCCCCCCCTTCCCTTTCCCCCCATCAGCCGGGGGAGATGGCAGGGGAGGTGGCGCGGCTGAGGGAGGCAGTGGCGGGGATGAGGGGGGAGGTGGAGGAGGAGGCGAGGCGGGTGAAGGGGGAGAATGAGGAGGAGCGCAGCAGCAAGTACGTGCGCACTGCTGTCATCGGGGGCGTGGGGCTCGCGCTGCTGCCGCTGCTGCTGCCCGCCCTCATCTCTGCCGTCCGCCAACCAGCCCCTCCCCCTCAGGTACGCCTTCCCCTCAGGTATGCCCCCCCCTCAGGTGCGCCCTCCCCTCAGCTACGCCTGCCGAAGTGTGAGCACAGGGATGAGTTCTTGGGTGCATGAGTGCATGAGTGCATGGGTGCATGGGTGCATGGGTGCATGGGTGCATGTGTGCATGGGTGCATGTGTGCATGGGTGCATGGGTGCATGTGTGCATGGGTGCATGGGTGCATGGGTGCATGTGTGCATGGGTGCATGAGCACACGGCATGGGGAACATGGGGGAGGACCCAGGGGCCGATGGCAGTGCAGTGAGTCTCGGAGCAGCTCCACACGGCCAGTCCCCCCAACACTGCCCTTCGGGTACATGCACCCCGCATCTGCCATGCCACCCTCCTCAACTCTCCACACCATCCCCCCCTGCTGCACCATACCTGCGCTCCACCACCCGCTCGCCACCAACACCCCTCGCTCCCCCGCATCCCCCCTCCCTTGTGCGTACAGGCACGGGTGGAGCTGGCGTCAGAGACAGCGGTGCTGCTGCAGTCGCTGCTGGCAGCGGAGTCGTCCTCGCTGGCGGAGCTCAAGGCCCTCGTGCCCCTCATCGCCCCCGACCTTGACGATGCCACCCGCGCCGACCGCGCCGCCATGTTCTGCCAGGCCGTGCCGCCCGCCTCCCGCTCCCCCCAGGCTGAACGCTTCTGCAATGCTGTCAGCACCGTTAGGGGAGGGCAGTGAAGGGGATGGGTGGTGTGGCAGTGGGAGTAGGTATGTGGTATGATGGGTGTGCAAGGGATCTGGGTGGGGAGTGCTGTAGAGATCTTGCATAGATGGTTACCAGGTAGTTGCTGGGAGATGGAGAAGCTAGAAGTGAATGCTACTTTGGAATGTCCGTCTGTACCTTTAATCATGTTGACCTCTACATTGGAGGTTCAAGTGACCTGGTGCTCATGAGAAACAAGCCTTGCAATTGCAACTAGGTACCAGTATTGAAAGACTGCCAGTAGGATGTGACACAAATTCCAATATACTGTACAAACATCATCCAGATAGTATAGCAAAATAACGTGTCATGCCATGCGATGCGAGTCTTTCTGCTGCTGCTTTTGTGCAGCGCACAGCGAAGCGAATAATATTCACTGCCTGTACATGTGTGGTGTGCAAGGCCTCGGCAGGAAGTGGCGGAGTGGCGTTGTGTGTTAGTGTGTTAGTGTGTTAGTGTGTTAACGTGTTAGCGGGTCGCCCCGTGGGGATCTGGTGGCCCGCCCCCCGCACCGTCACAAATGTCAGGCCCTTGTACCGCGTCACCCACCCCCCAACCTGGGGGAGGGGGAGGTGAGGGGGAGGGGAGGGGGACGGGGGGTGGGAGGGGGAGGAGGATTTAGGGGCGAATTGGGGGGGAGAAGGGAGGAAGCGGGGGACGATGGAGAGCATTGAGAGAAAGCGTGAGGGGGGATGTGAGGGCGGCGGTGCAGCACGTGGCTGTGGTGTGTGTGTGCTGTGCCTGCCATGCCTGTGAGTGAGAAACACCGCACCACTCCACCTGCCATGCTGCAGCACCTGCACGCCATGCTACACCGTGTGTGCACAGCACCTCTACGCACCTGGGTGGAGGGCAGCGTCCAGGGGTGGAGGGCGGCGAGCAGCGGCAGGTTGAGCCCCGCCACCCACTGCCTCGTGCCCGTGAACGGTACCACTGAGTCCGTGTCGCCGCTGGCATGCACAGGGGTGCAGAGGGGTGCAGAGGGGTGCATGAGTGGTGCATACAGGGGTCAGGGGAGTGGTGTGTGTTTCCAAACAACGGAGTGAGGGCAGAGCATGTGGGCTTGGTACAGTGGAGGTGACGGGAACTGAGCACATCATACTCCCACATTTCAAGACATTCCGCCCTGCACCCTCCTCATTCCACCCACCAGTGCACTCACGACATGATCCAGAGGGGCACTCACGACATGATCCAGAGGGGCACTCACGACATGATCCAGAGGGGCACTTGGGCTGCTAGCAGGCGGTGCAGCACGGGCAGCATCGAGACCTCCATGTCCCCACTGGCGTACTGCAGTGATGCGCTGTGGGGGGGGGTGTGGGTGGGAGGGAGGCAGGTAAGAGGGGGTGTAGGTAAGAAGGGTGTAGGTGAGAGGTGGGTAGGCGGGAGGGGGGTAGGTGAGGGGGGGGCAGGTGAGGGAGGGAGGGAGGGAGAGGTGCAGGGAGGGAGGGAGGTAGGGAGGGAGGGAAGGGGGATGGGGGAAGAGTGGGAGTGAGTGGGGGAAAGAGGCATGGAGAGCGCACGGTTGGCATCTTCCCTGCCGCTCTCACCTGCAGGGCAGCCAGTGGTGGGGCTGGCCACCAGCAGCGGCGGGCATGGCATGGATGGCGCGTTGCACGGGAGGCCAGTGCAGGTAGCGCTGCACCCACACGTCCATGCACGCCCTGCTCGCTGACCCCTCATCCTCTGCCCCCTCCACCTCCCCTTCCCCGTCCATGCCACTCATTGCCCTTGCTGCTCCCTCTGCTCCACTCACTGCGCCTGTTCCCCCCTCTCCGCTCTCCCCCTCTCCTCCCCATACACTTGCGTTCTCACCCTGTATTTCCCCCACCAGCCCCCCTCCTGCCGCTCTTGCTTGTGAGGCAGGGTGTAAGGAGGAGGGTGAAGAGGAGGTGGCGGAAGGAGAGGTGGAGTGCGGCGCGGAGGGGCGGGGAGAGGAGAAGGAGAAGAGGCGAGAGAGGCGATTCCGTTGCGTGTTGCGGTGAAGGGAGCGGTAGGCGGGGGAGAGGCACACTGGCGCGTAGATGTCTGGATGGGGGGGAGAGATTGAGGAGAGGAGTGATGTTAACACAAGGAGAAGAAGGAGCACGCAAGAGAGGGCGTGCGAAGCAGTGAGTATTTGAGGTCAGGGAGGTGAGGTGAGGGAGGTGAGGTGAGGGAGGTGAGGTGAGGGAAGTGAGGCGAGGTGAGGTGAGATGTTAACACAAGGAGAAGAAGGAGCACGCAAGAGAGGGCGTGCGAAGCAGTGAGGGAGGTGCACCACTGAAAAGCAATGCTGGGAATGGAATGAGACGGGTGATGTGTGTTGGGCAGCGTGACAAATGCATTTGCTTGGTGAGAGCATTGAGGAGACGGTGAGCAGGCAATGTGGGTGGGTGGGTACCATACGGGTCGATGCCGCTCTGTGCTTGGGGGACATGATGGGTTGATCCCGGGGCACGCACGATGGTAGATACATGCACACATGCACACATGCACACATGCACACATGCACACATGCACACATGCACACATGCACACATGCACACATGCACACATGCACACATGCACACATGCACACATGCACACATGCACACACAAACACAGAACTCATGGCCGTCAGCAACCCTTGTTGCTCAATTTCATGGCTAGGCACTGCCAGCACTGCCGGCACTTGCAGCAACAGAGAACGCATGAAGCATGGGACATGTGACATGAGGCGAGGGGCTACGGCACTGACGTCAGCGGTGGCAATGTCGTTCATGACAGCGTCACATGCCATGCCGGGCCGCACTGTGTCTGCTGAGAACCCGCACTGCCGGGGGCGGGGGAAAGGGCAGCATGCGCATGCGCGTGGGGTAAGGGCAAGGGGAACGGGGCATGGGGCAGAGGGACACATAAGTGTTAACTTGCTCGTGATGGTGGGAGATGAGGAGGTGAATGAAAGGCGCCCCAGCCGAATGATGAGAGAGAGTGGCAGAGCGCAGAGCAGGGCAGCAGGAAGTCATGCCTGCGCGGCCTGGGAGAAGAGGCGGGGGGAGAGCAGTCCGTGGTCGAGAAAGAAGCGCGCGCGGGTGGTGGTGTCAACGCGCGCATGCACGAAGGGGTTCCCCAGCAGCACGCCCCCCACCCTCATTCGCACCCTCAGCGCCGGGCGCGCCTCCATCGCCACCAACGCGTCCGCCAGCTGCGGAATGTAGTGGCCTGCACGCACAGGGGAGCAGGGAGGAGAGGGGAAGGCGGTGAGGAGGCGTATGGTGGAATGAGCGGCGGGCCATACATGTCACGGCGAGTTCTTACAGCGCCCGCAATGTGCCTTTGCTTCTCTCCCCGCGTACCTCCTCCTTCCACCTGCGTACCTCCCCCCTCACGTGCATACCTCCACCCCTCACGTGCATACCTCCCCCCTCACCTGCATACCGCCCCCCCTCACCTGCATACCGCCCCCCCTCACCTGCATACCGCCCCCCGTCACCTGCATACCGCCCCCCCTCACCTGCATACCGCCCCCCCTCACCTGCATACCGCCCCCCCTCACCTGCATACCGCCCCCCCTCACCTGCATACCGCCCCCCCTCACCTGCATTCCGCCCCCCCTCACCTGCATTCCGCCCCCCCTCACCTGCATTCCGCCCCCCCTCACCTGCATAACTCTCCCCCGCCAGCAGCAGCTTGCGCCCGTTGTAGCGCGGGTGGCGGCGGAGGAAGGCGCGCAGAAACTGCACCGTGTCCTGGGCTGGGACGGGGGCGACGGCGGTATGGGTAGCGAGGAGGGGAGAGGGCGGGAGTGAGAAAGGAGGAGGCAGAATAGAGGGACGAGCAAGAGGGGAGGGGGTAGAACGGGGACCGGAAGAAAGGGAGGGAAGAGCGGGAGAGGGGGAAGAGCGGGAGAGGGGGAAGGGGGAGCGGGGAGGCGGGGGGGGGACCTGTTTGGTTGTCGCCCGTGGCGAGGTCGGAGGCCGCCAGCGAGTACGAGAAGCCCGCTCCCGCAGGCGAGTCCAGGAACAACACGTTCGCCACTGCGCGCACACAGGAGAAAGGGAAGGGAGGGTAAGCAGGGAGATGTAAGCACGTAACACGTGGCGCCAGCTGAATGGAGTGGCTTGTGGCAAATGACAACGAAAGGCAAAGAGGGCCAAGTGGCGAGGCGGCAAGGGGTTGGGAGGAGGGGGTTACGTTTGTTCCACGAGTACGGGTTGAACTGCAGCTGTCGTCCCGCGGGGCCCGCCACTCGCCTGCACACAGCCACGCCCCACTCACAGTCAGCGCGCTTGTCAAGCGACTCGGCGCACAAGGACGAAGCGGCACATGCAAGTCACCAAGACTGCGCCGGCAACTCACCAGGGCCCGAGCTCCTGCAGGAGGCCGTAGCCGATGGACGAGCACCCGGGACCTGCGGATCACACCACGGCACCACGCACACCCGACATGCGGTAAGGAACGGTCATCCCTTTCTACGCGCAACTGTAAGCAGCCCTCCCTCACAATCCCAGCTGACCCACGCGCGTACAGGAAGCCGAGTGATCCCACGACACCTTTCATCCCCCAAATCACTTTCGCATTCGACACTAAGCTTCCCGCTTCGCGCTTCATGTGCGCACCTCCGTTGAGCCACAGCACGAGCGGCTTCGTGAGAGGCGCCGCCACGGACTCCGTGAGCCAATAGAAGAGCCGCTTTCGCCCCGCCGGACCCACCGGTATGTACCCCGCCCACTGCCCGAACGCCGGCGCTCCGCGCGGCTGTCCCGGCAGGCTGCGGATGGCTGCGGATGGCGGGGGGGGAGCAGCAGTAGCAGCAGGCACGGCGCGAGGGATAGCAGGGGGAGGCGCGGACGGATGGGGAACACGGTGGAGCGGGAGGGCGGGCGCATACTCGCAGCTGCGGTGCGGGCGGTGGGGGTGTGCATGGCTGGCAGCCGCCGCGACTCCGAGCTCCGCCAGTCGCTTAGAGTCGTGCGACCTCGAAGCCAGTCGCTTGGAGTCGTGCGAGCTCGACGCCAGTCGCTTAGAGTCATGCGAGCTCAACGCCAGTCGCTTAGAGTCGTGCGACCTCAACGCCAGTCGCTTAGAGTCGTGCGAGCCCGGAAAACTGAATTCGCTTATTGGCTGGAGGATGAGGGGCATGGGAGCGTTAATATATTATAATGGCTGGAACTATGTGATGAAGGGCTCCTCCTAGTTTCGTTGTTACTAGAAAGTTGCGTGGGTGACGGTGTGTCGATTTGGTCGTAGGGATGAAGTTGGTATGCAAGGACGTAAGTCAGCAGCAAGTCTCGGCGCAGCGGAAATGCAATTCACCACAAGGCCATCCAAAGCGCATGCCACGCAGCGCGTCATGCCCATGTCGCTCAATTTCCAGAGGCCCTCCGTTTCGCTGTGGCAGGCTGGTTGGCACGAAATAGCGCTTACCACACTGTAGCTTCCTGACCCAAAAACCAACTAATGTAGATCGTAGTTACGTCAAACTTTGAACCAATTTGGCTGGTCAGTCAGTGCCTGCCTGGAGAGTTTCACAGCTAAGAACGTTGGTTTGGAAAATCTTGAAACTTCTTTCAAGTGGCAAAACTCTCTCAGCAACTCCGGGATCTATTTTGCAATTTCCTAATTTCGACCACCGAATCCTTTTGCTCCGGCAGCCACTGCAGTGTTGTCCCCTAGCTGTTGTGAAAAGCCAGTTCGGCTCTTCTTCCGCTTCGCCTTGCCGGAACTGGCCTGCATGGAGGTGATGGCACGGCCCAAACAAAGAAACCCACCAAACGGTGATGACAACCTCAAGGCAAATGGCCGTGGCCATGACATGCAGCAAGCAACTAGCATCTTGGCGAGGGGACGTACCTTGTTGGCTCGGGGACGTACCTTGTTGGCTCGGGGATGTACCTTGTTGGCTCGGGGACGTACCTTGTTGGCTCGGGGACGTACCTTCTTGGCACCCGATGTGTCGAGGCCGGGAATGGCAGGCATGGCCTTGCCAGACACCATGTCGGCCACGGCCTTCATGCGCACTCGCATCTGGAACAGCTGCGAGATCAGCGCGCTCACCTGCACACCCGCAACTTGCACAGCAATCAATCACGGCAAACCACACTCCGAGATGACAGTAACAAAGTGCACGGACCAAGGGCAAAGCAAAAAGCTGTTCATTGCCTCCTGCTTCACCTGCCCACCTGCTCCGGGCTTCACCTGCCCACCTGCTCCTGGCTTCTGCCCGAGCCTTTGGCGATGCGGCGGCGGCGCGACGGGCTCTTTGCAAGCAGCTCCGGGTCCGCACGCTCCTCTGATGCGGGCGGTGCGGTGCGATGCGCGGGGGAGCGGCGAGGGGCATGGGGGGGCGAGTGCATGCGCAAGGATAATGAGTACCAGGAAAGTGAAAGGAGGTGGCACAGCTCCAGCACGATGGGGACACAGGTGGTCAGCATGAGACGAATGCAAGCAACGGTGCAGGCATGAGTCACAGTGGGTGATGGAGGTTGAAGGAGGGTGAAGGAGGGTGGAGGAGGGTGGCGGGGGGTGGAGGGGGGTGGAGGGGGGTGGAGGGGGGTGGAGGGGCACTCACGGTTGGTCATGGAGCCGATCATGGACTCCATGACCTTGAGGCTCTTCTCTGCCTCGCGCACCTGCTGCGGTGTGAGCTGTCAGCGCACACGGGGTAGGGTGTTGCATGGGCACACAGCAGTGAGGGAGGGTGGCAGAGGCAAGGCGGCTGATGAGGAAGCTGCGGGCGGAGCTGTGCCATGAGGCGAAACGAGAGGACAACGAAACGCCAGTTACTGTGCTGTGGCAAGTGGGGCGAGTCAAGGCGAGAAAAAGCATACAGCAGAGGTGTGGAATTGAGGATGCAAGGCAGGTGGGGGGTGGAGGGCGGTGCGGTGCGAGGAGACCTTGTTCATGCCGGGGATGAGTTTGAGCATGCCGCCCATGGACCCCATGCGCGCCATCATGCGCGTCTGCTTGAGCATGTCGTTGAAGTCAAACTTGGCCTCCATGATGCGCTTCCTCACCTCCGCCTCGTCCTCCTTGTCCATCTGCCACATCACACGCCACGTGCCATGCACCATGCCATGCGCCATGTGCCACATGCCACACGCCACATCTCACGCCATGCGCCACATGCCATGCCATGCGCCATGCGACACATGCCGCTTGCCATGCACCATGCACCATGTGCCATGTGCCATGCAGCATGTACCAAATGTCATGTGCCCAACGCCATGCCCCATGTGCCATGTGACATGCGGCATGTGCCATTAGCCATGCATTACGTGCCAGCCAGATTCCATGTGCCATGCGCCATCAGCCATGTGCCATGTGCGAGCAATGCACCAAAATTCAGAACCAGCACATTAAATGTGGGCTTCCAACACATCGACCTCAGCACACAACACAACCAACCACCACCATCCACTCACAACCCACAACCCTTCCTGCTGCCTGCCCCACTGCCCACTGCCCACCGCCTACTGCCTCACTGCCCACCGCCTACTGCCTCACTGCCCACCGCCTACTGCCTCACTGCCCACTGCCTCACTGCCCATTGCCCTGCAGGAGCATGTGTGAGCAGGGGGCACTGACCAGCTCCTGTGCTTTCTCCACGAGCGAGAGCACGTCGCCCATGCCGAGGATGCGGCTGGCCATGCGGTCCGGGTAGAAGGGCTCCAGTGCACTCATCGTCTCGCCCTCGCCCACAAACTTGATGGGCCGCCCTGACACCTGCCCACGTGCACGCGCACGCCACGCCACGCACACGGGGGAGCAGGCAGGTGGTGGGTGGGGAGGGTGCGATGAGCGCGGGAGTGAGTGGGAGGCCCAAGGAAACAAGAAGCACATGGGAAAGAGAGTGGTGCTGCAAGGCCAGTGGTGCAGCCCGGGTGGGTGGGCGACTGACCTCCTTGACGCTGAGAGCAGCGCCACCACGTGAGTCACCGTCCACCTTGGTGAGGATGGCGCCCGTGATGCTCACCTCCGCATTAAACGCCGCCACCAGACCTGCGCCACCATGGGGGGGCATGCAGCACGGCGCAGCGACAGGGGAGAAGGGCAGGGGTGAGGCATGGAAGGCAGCAGGTGCAGCTATGATGCATTTGCCGTTGGTTCAGGGTTGCGTCAATCGTCAACACCATCCGATTCCACGCTCGACGCTTGACGCAGCATCCTGACTCACTAGCAGCCTGGTGACTCACTAGCAGACTCACTGGCAGCCTGGTGACTCACTAGCAGACTCACTAGCAGCCTGGTGACTCACTGGCAGCCTGGTGACTCACTAGCAGACTCACTGGCAGCCTGGTGACTCGCTAGCAGACTCACTGGCAGCCTGGTGACTCACTGGCAGCCTGGTGACTCACTGGCAGCCTGGTGACTCACTAGCAGCCTCCTGGCCCGTCATGGCATCGACAACGAGCAGCACCTCCGTGGGGCTAACCGCCGCCTTGATGCCCCTCAGCTCCTCCATCATGCTGCGGTCTATCTGCACCCACCACCACCTCACACCACACCACACCACAGCACAAAACACCAGGACCACGCATACCACACCATCCCACACAGCAGCAGAATCAGCAGCAGCAGCAGCGGCGGCGGTAGCCACACAGTGCGGCATGCAGTGAGGAACGCTGTAGTGAGGAACACTGCAGTGAGGAACGCTGCAGTGAGGAACGCTGCAGTGAGGAACGCTGCAGTGAGGAACGCTGCAGTGAGGAACGATGCAGTGAGGAACGCTGCAGTGAGGAACGCTGCAGTGAGGAACGCTGCAGTGAGGAACGCTGCAGTGAGGAACGCTGCAGTGAGGAACGCTGCAGTGAGGAACGCTGCAGTGAGGAACGCTGCAGTGAGGAACGCTGCAGTGAGGAACGCTGCAGTGAGGAACGCTGCAGTGAGGAACGCTGCAGTGAGGAACGCTGCAGTGAGGAACGCTGCAGTGAGGAACGCTGCAGTGAGGAACGCTGCAGTGAGGAACGCTGCAGTGAGGAACGCTGCAGTGAGGAACGCTGCAGTGAGGAACGCTGCAGTGAGGAACGCTGCAGTGAGGAACGCTGCAGTGAGGAACGCTGCAGTGAGGAACGCTGCAGTGAGGAACGCTGCAGTGAGGAACGCTGCAGGTGAGGAACGCTGCGGTGAGGAACGCTGCAGTGAGGAACGCTGCAGTGAGGAACGCTGCAGTGAGGAACGCTGCAGTGAGGAACGCTGCAGTGAGGAACGCTGCAGTGAGGAACGCTGCAGTGAGGAACGCTGCAGTGAGGAACGCTGCAGTGAGGAACGCTGCAGTGAGGAACGCTGCAGTGAGGAACGCTGCAGTGAGGAACGCTGCAGTGAGGAACGCTGCAGTGAGGAACGCTGCAGTGAGGAACGCTGCAGTGAGGAACGCTGCAGTGAGGAACGCTGCAGTGAGGAACGCTGCAGTGAGGAACGCTGCAGTGAGGAACGCTGCCGAGAGGAACGCTGCGGTGAGGAACGCTGCAGTGAGGAACGCTGCAGTGAGGAACGCTGCAGTGAGGAACGCTGCAGTGAGGAACGCTGCAGTGAGGAACGCTGCAGTGAGGAACGCTGCAGTGAGGAACGCTGCAGTGAGGAACGCTGCAGTGAGGAACGCTGCAGTGAGGAACGCTGCAGTGAGGAACGCTGCAGTGAGGAACGCTGCAGTGAGGAACGCTGCAGTGAGGAACGCTGCAGTGAGGAACGCTGCAGTGAGGAACGCTGCAGTGAGGAACGCTGCCGAGAGGAACGCTGCGGTGAGGAACGCTGCAGTGAGGAACGCTGCAGTGAGGAACGCTGCAGTGAGGAACGCTGCCGAGAGGAACAACGCTGCGGTGAGGAACGCTGCGGTGAGGAACGCTGCAGTGAGGAACGCTGCAGTGAGGAACGCTGCAGTGAGGAACGCTGCAGTGAGGAACGCTGCAGTGAGGAACGCTGCAGTGAGGAACGCTGCAGTGAGGAACGCTGCAGTGAGGAACGCTGCAGTGAGGAACGCTGCAGTGAGGAACGCTGCAGTGAGGAACGCTGCAGTGAGGAACGCTGCAGTGAGGAACGCTGCAGTGAGGAACGCTGCAGTGAGGAACGCTGCAGTGAGGAACGCTGCAGTGAGGAACGCTGCAGTGAGGAACGCTGCAGTGAGGAACGCTGCAGTGAGGAACGCTGCAGTGAGGAACGCTGCAGTGAGGAACGCTGCAGTGAGGAACGCTGCTGAGAGGAACGCTGCGGTGAGGAACGCTGCGGTGAGGAACGCTGCGGTGAGGAACGCTGCAGTGAGGAACGCTGCAGTGAGGAACGCTGCAGTGAGGAACGCTGCAGTGAGGAACACTGCAGTGAGGAACGCTGCAGTGAGGAACGCTGCAGTGAGGAACGCTGCAGTGAGGAACGCTGCAGTGAGGAACGCTGCAGTGAGGAACGCTGCAGTGAGGAACGCTGCAGTGAGGAACGCTGCAGTGAGGAACGCTGCAGTGAGGAACGCTGCAGTGAGGAACGCTGCAGTGAGGAACGCTGCAGTGAGGAACGCTGCAGTGAGGAACGCTGCAGTGAGGAACGCTGCAGTGAGGAACGCTGCAGTGAGGAACGCTGCAGTGAGGAACGCTGCAGTGAGGAACGCTGCAGTGAGGAACGCTGCAGTGAGGAACGCTGCAGTGAGGAACGCTGCAGTGAGGAACGCTGCAGTGAGGAACGCTGCAGTGAGGAACGCTGCAGTGAGGAACGCTGCAGTGAGGAACGCTGCAGTGAGGAGGAACGCTGCGGTGAGGAACGCTGCAGTGAGGAACGCTGCAGTGAGGAACGCTGCAGTGAGGAACGCTGCAGTGAGGAACGCTGCAGTGAGGAACGCTGCAGTGAGGAACGCTGCAGTGAGGAACGCTGCAGTGAGGAACGCTGCAGTGAGGAACGCTGCAGTGAGGAACGCTGCAGTGAGGAACGCTGCAGTGAGGAACGCTGCAGTGAGGAACGCTGCAGTGAGGAACGCTGCAGTGAGGAACGCTGCAGTGAGGAACGCTGCAGTGAGGAACGCTGCAGTGAGGAACGCTGCAGTGAGGAACGCTGCAGTGAGGAACGCTGCAGTGAGGAACGCTGCAGTGAGGAACGCTGCAGTGAGGAACGCTGCAGTGAGGAACGCTGCAGTGAGGAACGCTGCAGTGAGGAACGCTGCAGTGAGGAACGCTGCAGTGAGGAATGCTGCAGTGAGGAACGCTGCAGTGAGGAACGCTGCAGTGAGGAACGCTGCAGTGAGGAACGCTGCAGTGAGGAACGCTCACCTGCAGGCGACCAGCTGTGTCCACAATCACCACATCCACGCCTGCCTTCTTGGCAGCCGCCACGCCCTGCCGTGCGATGTCCACCGGCCGCGCGTCCGTGCCCTCCGCGTACACCGGCACGCCCACCTGCCACCGCACCCCCACCACACGCATGCACGCAGGTGGCATGTGGGAGCGTTGAGTTGCGAGGGAGAAGGGCAGCACGAGGTGCAGTGGGGAGAAGGGCAGCACGAGGTGCAGTGGGGAGAAGGGCAGCACGAGGTGCAGTGGGGAGAAGGGCAGCACGAGGTGCAGTGGGGAGAAGGGCAGCACGAGGTGCAGTGGGGAGAAGGGCAGCACGAGATGCAGTGGGGAGAAGGGCAGCACGAGATGCAGCGGGGAGAAGGGCAGCACGAGGTGCAGTGGGGAGAAGGGCAGCACGAGGTGCAGTGGGGAGAAGGGCAGCACGAGATGCAGTGGGGAGAAGGGCAGCACGAGATGCAGCGGGGAGAAGGGCAGCACGAGGTGCAGTGGGGAGAAGGGCAGCACGAGGTGCAGTGGGGAGAAGGGCAGCACGAGATGCAGTGGGGAGAAGGGCAGCACGAGATGCAGCGGGGAGAAGAGCAATTTGCTCAAGGGGCCAGCAATGGGCCATTCACCACCCCACCCACCCACCCCACCCCCACACCCTTTCACTGCCTCCCCCTCGTCCTGCGCGCCACGCAGCTGCTCACCTGCGCGCCCAGCGTCTGCAGCTGCTCACCTGCGCGCCCAGCGTCTGCAGCTGCTCGATGGCGGCGGGGCGGTACACATCCGTGGCCACCATCATGCTCGTCTTGCCCTGGCCGCACGCAAGGGCGAGGGGGAGCGGCGGGGAAGGGAGGTGGGGGGGGAGGGGTAGTGGGGGTGGGATATGGTGGAGTAAACCCATGCGGCGAGGCACAAGCGCGCATGAGCTGAGCGCGTGCACGCAAGAGCACATACAAGCCCCGTCTCTTCCCTTTGCATCGCTTCTCCATGCCCCCCCCCCCCCCCCCCCCCCAATGCACCTTCTTCTTGAGGAAGAGAGCGAGCTTGCCGCACGCGGTGGTCTTGCCGACGCCCTGCAGCCCGGCCATGAGCACCACGGTGGGGCCCTTCCCCTCGGGCGCGTACGCGATCTCCGCGACGTTGCCGCCCATGAGCGCCACCAGCTGGTCGTTCACCACCTTGACGAGCTGCTGCTCCGGCCGCACGCCACGGATCACCTCCACGCCCACCGCCCGCTCCGTCACCTCGCGCACAAACCGCCGCACCACCGGCAGACTCACCTGCAGCACCAGGAACGCGGATCACGGGGGAATTGCGGAAGGGATATGGGGGGGAAGAGTGCATGGGGATGCGCGTTGGTTCTGCGGTGGAGCCCTGGCGTGCGCGCACTGTGCGGTGGAGCCATGGCGTGTGCATATCAACCCAGCAGCGCAACTCACATCGGCCTCCAGCAGCGCAACTCACATCGGCCTCGAGCAGCGCAACTCACATCGGCCTCGAGCAGCGCAACTCACATCAGCCTCGAGCAGCGCAACTCACATCGGCCTCCAGCAGCGCAACTCACATCGGCCTCCAGCAGCGCAACTCACATCGGCCTCCAGCAGCGCAACTCACATCGGCCTCGAGCAGCGCGCGCCGAATGTCTCGCATCGGCTCCTTGATGTTGTCGCGCGTCAGCTTGTCTGCGATCGTCGCGGGGAGAAGGAAGGAGGAGGAGGGGGGAAAGGGTGGTGGCTGGACCAGCGGCTAGCGCGCAGGAAAGGAGGGGACGCACGGCGAATTGATTAAAACACGTGCATGAACGTGTCATTGGGAATGGGAGAAGCAGGTCAGCGTGCTCCGGACACGCGTTCCGATGGCGCACCTTGCGCGCGCAGCTTGGTCCACGCCTGCTCCAGGCTCGAGCTCAGCTGGTCGAACACCGCCGCGCGCACCACCACCCGCCCCGACGGCCCTGCACGCCGTGCCGCGCGCCGCGCGCTGCTCCCCACCCTGCAGCCCAGGAGGCCCGACGACTCCGCGAACGCGGTGGACGTGCTGGTGGCGAACAGCGACGATCGCAGAGGCGGTTGGGCGACTGCTCTCAGAGTCGCACGTGAGGTTGCTGCGACGGATGCGAGGTGTGCATGTGATGTGAGCGACGAGGCGAGCTGCTGCGAGGGAAGCGCCGCGGCCATGGTGGGATGAGGGGCGGCACGGAGGCTCGTCATCCTTACTCCCGTGACGCGTGTTGGGTGGGAAGTGACGGGCGACGCGACGAACTACTATCCTGCTGTGGACGAAAATCCTCCAGTTGAAGGGATTGGAGGGCGAGAGGGAGGGTGATGATGAGGGAAGGATATCATCAACTGCCTATTTGACAAAAAGCAAAACTCCACGTGGCTGCTCGCTGCTGGAACCTCCTTTTTAAATCAGTAGCAGTTTCAATGCTTCTGCTGTACTCTAGATTTGTCGTATAGTTGTTATGAGTGCAATTGAGCAAAGATTGCACAATCAAAGCAATTGAATACATTAGTGAAGACATGAACGGATTGTTAAACAGCGAAACAGGATGGTAACGGTAACAAATGATCGCAATATTTCCCTCATCGGAAGAGAGAAAAATAACAACAGCGGAAGAGCGCGTACATGGGAGTGATGCAAGAACAAAGGGGACCAATCAAAGGGGCTGGGAAGGCGCACTTGTGCAGAAAAACGCTCGGAACGAGCGCTTCCAGCCCCAAAACGCGGAAGGATCCGCACATGTGCAGGAAGTGCAGCGAGCGCTCTTCATTCGCGAGCGCCGATGACCGATGATGATCGCAACCCTTCCACGCCCTTGCTGACTTGGTAATAGGACCAAACAAGAGCAGCCACGTGACTCAGCAGAAGAAAAACGCTCAGAGCGAGCGCTTCCAGCCCCAAAACGGGGAAGGATCCGCACATGTGCAGGAAGTGCAGCGGACGCTCTTCATTCGCGAGCGCCGATGACCAATGATGCTCGCAACCCTCCCACGCCCTTGCTGGCTTGGTAATAGGCACAGACAAGCGCAGCCCTGTGACCCGGCGGAAGAAAAACGCTCGGAACGAGCGCTTCCAGCCCCAAAACGCGGAAGGATCCGCACATGTGCAGGAAGTGCAGCGAGCGCTCTTCATTCGCTAGCGCCGATGACCGATGATGCTCGCAACCCTTCCACGCCCTTGCTGACTTGGTAATAGGACCAAACAAGAGCAACCACGTGACCCAGCAGAAGAAAAACGCTCAGAACGAGCGCTTCCAGCCCCAAAACGGGGAAGGATCCGCACATGTGCAGGAAGTGCAGCGGACGCTCTTCATTCGCGAGCGCCGATGACCGATTGTCAGAACATTATAGCTTTTACATTTGTGTAGGCCATAGTGGGGTAGCCCATAAGGGGTACAACCCAGTTATGGTTAGTACTTGTACCCAACTCATTCATAGTTCATTCATTCTCGTTCGTAACTTTGATATGGTTTCAGAGTAGGTCCTTTCCTAGGACCGTTTTTTGGGCCCACCACCTGCTGCCCTGCTAGCCTCGCCTCGCGCCCGTTGCCCCTAGGCCCCGGCCCGTCGCCATCCACGTCGCCCTAGGCCCGTCGCGACCCCCGTCGCGACCCTCGTCGCCAGTCGCCCCTCACGGCCCCGTCGACCTAGGCCCCCGGCCCTCGCCCCGCGGCCCCTCGGCCCTCGCCCCTAGGCCCCGTCGACCTAGGCCCCCCGGCCCCCCGCGACCCCGTCGACCTAGGCCCCCCGGCCCCCGCGACCCTGTCGACCTAGGCCCCGCGGCCCCGTCGACCTAGGCCCCCGGCCCCCCCTCGGCCCCGTCGCTCCTGGCCCCGCGGCCCCGTCGACCTAGGCCCCCGGCCCCCGTGACCCCGTCGACCTAGGCCCCCGGCCCCCCGCGACCCCGTCGACCTAGGCCCCGCGGCCCAGTCGACCTAGGCCCCCGGCCCCCCTCGGCCCCGTCGCTCCTGGCCCCGCGGCCCGTCGACCTAGGCCCCTGCCCCCCATGCTCCCGTCGACCTAGGCCCCCGGCCCCCGCGACCCCGTCGACCTAGGCCCCCCGGCCCCCGCGACCCCGTCGACCTAGGCCCCCCAGCCCCCGCGACCCCGTCGACCCAGGCCCCGCGGCCCCGTCGACCTAGGCCCCCGGCCCCCCCCTCGGCCCCGTCACTCCTGGCCCCGCGGCCCCGTCGACCCAGGCCCCCGGCCCCCGTGATCCCGTCGACCTAGGCCCCGCGGCCCCGTCGACCTAGGCCCCCACCCCCCCCCCCCCTCTCGGCCCCGTCGCTCCTGGCCCCGCGGCCCCGTCGACCTAGGCCCCCGGCACCTCGGCCCCGTCGCCCCTGGCCCCGCGGCCCCGACTCCCCTAGGCCCCAGCCCCCCCCCCTCGGCCCCGTTTCCCCTGGCCCCGCGGCCCCAATGCCCCTAGGCCCCAGGCCCCTCGGCCCCGTCTCCCCTGGCCCCGCGGCCCATTCGACCTCGGCCCCTTGGCCACTGCTACTGCTACAGCTGCTACTGCTGCTACTGCTATAGCTACTGCTGCTACTGCTGCTGCTACTGCTGCTACTGCTGCTCCTACGTGCTGCGCCACTATGGCTTCGCTTAGGGTTCTAGCGTTCAATCATGAGGGCAGACCGGTTCAGTTTGACACGTGGCTCGACGACCTGCAGCTGTACCTACTGAGCGATTCTAAGGACAGTGTCTCGCTGTTTGACCTAGCGTACGGTGCCGCTACTACCCCTCCCGCCACAGCTGACAGTGCGACCCGCTCACAGTGGCTTACTCGCGACGCTGCTGCCCGCTAAACCATTTGCAACCACCTGCCGTTAGCCAAATGCGCTCACTTCGGACAGCACGGGACATCACAGGCACTGTACGACGCTGTAGTCGCTCACTACTCCTCCCCTGTCACTGCTGCTCTAGGCCGCCTACTTCTGCCCTACCTGTTCCCCGAGCTGTCCGCCTTTGCCACAGTCGAGGACCTGGTTTCCCACCTTTGCGTAGCGACGCTCGCTACCGCGCTGCTGCCCCGCTGAGTTCCTTGACAAGAACCAGCCCCCGATGTTCATCACCCTCTACTTCATAGTCACTCGCCTCCTTGACTCTCTTCGCTCTGTCAGGGACCACTTTCTCTCTCTTGACCCCACCTCCCTCACTGTTGACCTCCTCGAGCAGCATCTCCTCGCAGCTGAGACTAGTGCGGTTGCTGTAGGTGCTGCTCGTGGCACTCTGCGCCCGCCCTTCTTTGAGGGGTGCTCCCCCTCCCCACTTGCCCCCTCCTACGCCTCTGCTGCTGCTGCAGACGTCTCTGTTGCTGAGGACGTTGGGGCTGCTTCTGCTAGTGCAAAGCACCGCAACAGCAAGGGCAAGGGTGGCAGGGGTGGTGGAGGTGGCAGCGGTGGTGGTGGAGGTGGCAGCGGGAGTAGTGGTGGGGGCAGCAGTGGAGGTGGTGGCGGCGGTGGGACTGGTGGAGGGAGTGGGGGTTCTGGTGGCGGCGGTGGAGGCAGCGGTGGGAGTGGCGACAGTGACGGCGGTGGGACTGGTGGCGGTGGGACTGGCGCTCGGCGTGTTGGTTCTGGAGGTGGCTAGCGTCAGCAACAGCAGCGTCGGAGCGAGACCCAGTCGCCCCAGCAGCTTCGTGAGTGGTTTTTGCGTGGGGCGTCTGGGGGTAGTAGTAGCTGCCCGTATGTCATTCGCACGGGTGACCGTGCTGGTCAGACTTGCGGGCGGCTCCACACTCAACACCGCTGTTTCTCCCGCCTCGATGACGCTTGGTGTGCTGAGTTTGGTGATGACGTCGAGCTCCTTCGCTGGGCAGATCTGCTTAGGTCTAGGATTGCTATCTTTGACCTAGACTTTGATGCTATTCTTTCTGCTATGTATGCTTTGTCTGTTAGTGCTGAGGGTGACTGTTACCGGTGTGTGCCGCCTGACCCAGGTATAGCTGCTGCTGCTCTAGGTGCTAGTGAGTCTAGTACTCTCCCAGGTACTGCGCCTGCTCAGGCCTTGCACATCTTCACGCTGGACTCAAGCGCCTCTGCATGTTTCTTTCGTGACAGCACCACTCTCACTCCTCTCTCTGCACCTGTCCCGGTCTGACTGGCTGACCCCTTTGGGGGCCCGGTCGTTGCCCATTCCTCCACTGTCCTCCCGTGTCCGGCGGTTCCGTCTGGCTCACTGTCAGGTCTTCACCTCCCCTCGTTCTCTACGAACTTGGTGAGTACTGCTGCCCTCCAGGATGCGATGGTCACTACCACCACTCCTGGGGGTCAGCGTGTGTCGATCTGCACGTGCACACGGACGGGGCGTCACCTCGCCATGTTCACTCGTCGGCCAGGGTCGAGTTTGTACACACTCGCTACCGAGCCTCCTCAGGTAGCTGCTTCTGCTCAGGTGTCCGCGTCAGGTCAGGTAGCCGCCTCTTGCTCGTGTCGCCTCCTGTCGCACCAGACTCTCCCGTGGCACCACCGCCTGGGTCACCCCTCCCTGCCACGCCTTCGTGGCATGCATTCTTGTCTCTGGTCTACCTAGGTCTCTGCCTCCCCTCCCGCCCTCACCTGCCCCGCCCTGCCTTCCTTGCGTCGAGGGGCGACAGCGCGCCGCTCCTCACTCCTCGTCGTTTCCCCCGACGACTTCTCCCCTCCAGACTCTCCACATGGACGTGTGGGGCCCAGCCCGCGTCAGTGGACAGAGCCGCGAGCGCTACTTTCTGCTAGTAGTTGACGACTACACGCGGTACACCACGGTCTTCCCCTTGCGTAGCAAGGGTCAGGTCGTTGATGTCTTGATCCCTTGGATCCGCACAGTCCGTCTCCAGCTGCGCGAGCGGTTCGGCTAGGACCTTCCTGTCCTGCGTGTGCACTCTGACAGAGGTGGTGAGTTCTCCTCCAACCTCTTGCGGGACTTTTGTCGTGGGGAGGGCATTCTCCAGTCGTTCACGCTTCCGGACTCCCCTCAGCAAAATGGGATTGCTGAGCGCCGCATTGGCTTAGTCATGGAGGTCGCTCGTACCTCCATGATCCATGCGGCTGCTCCCCATTTTCTGTGGCCGTTTGCGGTCCAGTACGCTGCGAATCAGCTCAACCTCTGGCCCCATGTCTCCTTGCCGGAGACCTCGCCCACACTGCGTTGGACGGGGGAGGTTGGCGATGCATCGGTGTTCCGGGTCTGGAGATATCGTGCCTTTGTTCGCGATACGTCCGCGTCAA